AGATTCGAATCCAGGACCTTCCAGTCTCGAGTCAAAGCCTTTAACCGATAGACCACTGAGCCGGCTGATACCCAACGGTGTTAATGTCTAACTTCAACTGATCCACGAAGTTGAGCAACCGTTCACCAATTGTCTTCAGTGAGTTGATATCTCACAACAGATGTGGTTTGAACTCTACTGGTCACTGCTTCTCACTAGAATTCCTGGATGTCTAGCTTCAATTGACTAACGCTTTCAACTATGAAAACACTGAAATCTCCACAAAACCCTTTCTGATAATTAATAATATAGTGAAAGTTTATATTTCCTATCTGTATGAATTCCTTTTCTATATCTCCTTACTGAGTTTATTTGTTTATGTCTAATAATATACGTATCCAAAGTATAACTAATACTTGACATATTACTTTTGTTTTATTAAAGTGACCAATCGATTGAATATAAGTGAAGTTAAATAGAATGTGTATTTCATTAACATTATGTAATTGTCATTATCAGTTAACTGTAATCAACATCGAACAACTAAAATATTCACGTTTACATTTAATAGTATTCAATGTAAAACAATATGACTATAATTTATTTATAAGGTGATATATAAATAGAGAGAGTGAGAGTTAATCAAAGTTATAACATGAACTAGTTATCATGTGTAATATTCAACATCATTTAAATAATGTGACATTGACGTGATTTAAGTCCATTGAAATTCATGTGACCAACTTTATAGAACATTACTTATTATCACCTTTTTTTCTTTATTCGATTTATAGTTCTTCAGATATAATGTAAATCTTCAGTATACAGTCGAATATGTATTCGTATTTGTCACTTTTACAAGTAATATCATATACTTATAAACAATAATAATAATAATAATCAGGACTTAGTGGCCGAGTGGATAACGCGATGGTGTTTGAAGCGAAAGGTACTGGGTTCGAGTCCCAGAGTGAACATCAACTCTGAGATGCAGATACATCCAGATGACGAGTCCCAAATAGGACGAAACGCGCGTCCTGGATTTCAATGCTAGCCAATATCAATCTTTGCTTACCATGCTTTTGAATTTAGGCTATATCGAGACAATACGTACAGTATGCACATATGCCAATTAGAGATTGAACAGTTGCAGTCCTGAACATTAATGGGAAGGTTTAAACAAACAATACTAAGTGAATTTAATAATAATAATGATAATAATAATATAAATGCTGTCTACTTCAAACGATTTAAATAGAAAAAAGTCTTAACCAATCACATTCATCTTAATTTTTTTCGATTTTAATAGTTGAGATCATGAATCCATTAAAGCTAGATCAACATGGAAAACTGGGAAGCATTGGACAGCCGTTTCGTCCTATTAAGGGACTCCTCAGCAGTGAGCATCCACGATCCCGTCTTGTGAGATTCGAACCCAGGACCTACCAGTTTCACGCGCGAGCTCTAAACCACTAGACCACTGAGCCAGCTAGTATCCAACGCTGTTATTGTTTAACGTTTTTTTTAAATATAAAAATCATGTCACCACGTTCTGAAAAATACAATGGCCGATTTAAGAAAAAGAAAATTGGCCTCGATACTATAAAGTCAAATCAAAGCAGGAGAAAAAATATTTTATGGATGTCTATATTTGATGTAACGATTTTTTTTTCTTCTCTCTTCTCATCCAATCATCATTTGAATCAACTTTTAGTTGAATTTAAATGTATATACTTTCATCAGAAGGGGGTTTTCTGGAGATTTTAGAAATATCAAAATTTGAAAAATTTCCATATTGTGATTTAGAACACCATATATCTAAGCGAACAATATTGTTTTCGATTAGATCCTCATTAGGCTTTTACTCTAATATACCGTAATATTTATATGCATATACTAAATTATTAAACCAATCAAAGAAGTTTATGAGTCAATGATAACAGTGGAATAGATTACATAATCAAAATTAATAATAAGTGAAAAGTACAAATTGATAGTATAATGACAGGTTTACTAGTTGTGATAAGAATAATAAAAGGCTTGAATCAATGTTACATAATAGTAAAATAGGTCAATGATTAGAAAAATTGAGACATTGAAATAATGGTGGTCTAGCTTCAATTGACTCATGATTTCAACTTTGAAAAATACTGAAATCTCCACAAATCCCCTTCTAAATATAATCATATGCTCACTAGTGACTGACTTCAAGATACATGTCCTGGAGTTCTAGTGGGAAGCAGTGACCAGTGGAGTTCAACCACGTCCGTTGTGAGATATCAACTCACTGAAGACAATTGGTTAATGGTTGCTCAACTTCGTGGATCAGTTGAAGTTAGACATTAACACCGTTGGGTATCAGCCAGCTCAGTGGTCTATTGGTTAGGGGCTTCAGCTCGAAACTGGTAAGTCCTGGATTCGAATCCCGCGAGAGTGGGTTCGTGGATGCGCACTACTGAGGGGTCCCACAGTAGGACGAAACAGTCGTCCAGTGCTTCCAGGTTTTCCATGGTGATCTAGCTTCAATTGACTCATTATTTCAACTTTGAAAAATACTGAAATCTCCACAAATCCCCTTCTAAACATTGAAATAACATTCATAAAAATTATAAGATTACGTAATAATAAGTGTTCAGATAATTGGACCGTGAAACGAATATTTGAAAAATAAATAAATAATTCACTAAGTATTGCGTGTTTGAATCTTCCCATTGATGTTTTAGGACTGCAACTGGTCAGTTATTACTTAATTAATTGGCATATGTGCATATTGTCTCAATATAGCCTAAATTCAAAAGCATGGTAAGCACAGATGGATAGTGGCTAGCAGTGGAACCCAGGATGAGAGTTTCGTCCTATTTGGGACTCGTCATCTGGATGTATCTGCATCTCAGAGTTGATGTTCACTCTGGGACTCGAACCCAGTACCTTTCGCTTCAAACACCATCGCGTTATCCACTCGGCCACTGAATCCTGGTAAATAACTGATAGTGGGGTGAAAAATAAACGAAGAAAGAGTATGGAAAATAAAATTATTTATTAAGGCCCAGGGAGAGTAATAATTTTATATAGTTGTAATCATTAGTCAATTGAAGCTAGACTGCTATGAAAAATCTGGAAGTACTGGACGGCCGTTTCGTCCTATTGTACGACACTTCAGGAAATTATTCCATCGAATTAATAGATTGAAATTTTTATTTCAGTTCATGTATAAATTATGTAATAATATGATGTTTTGTGTTAGATTAATGAACAGTGTATCAACTGAAGTGACCTAATTAAATGTATTTAATTAATGCATTATACATCACATTAAAGTAATAATGATACTAATCAATTACATCATGTTATATGAATAATTCATTATTGCATGAAATGATGTTGTATGAACTACATTGAAATCTAGATGACAGTAAATTCAGTTAGATTAAAGATATATGATTAGTTGATTTGAAGTGTTTTAGATTATTCTGATTTAGATACAATTAATCAGTTGATTATTCTGGTGAAAAAAAAGTGTGTATCTTCTTATTTACTTGTATCTTCCTATTGTTATTTGAAGCAAACGGTACCGGGTTCGAGTCCTAGAGTGAAAATAGATTCCGAGATGCAAATACATCCAGCTGACGATCCCTAAACAGGACGAAACGCACTGGGGACTTAAATTTTATACCACTATAGACCATAAAACAGAATTAGATAAATTAAACTTTTTATACAGATTGGAAGAGTTGGACATATAGATTGCATGAAACAACTATCCATAGCGTCGACCACAAATGCTGCAATTATTATTTGGACTCATGTTTTTCATAAATAACACTGAAAATATCTACAGTTAAAACCGATTTACTAAGGTTTATTTCCTTTAGAGAACAGTTGATGAAATTAAACTATACGTGCAAAATAGCTGTACACACTATATAGAAGAACTGTAACTATGAAGGGATCATACTGCTGGAATTCACGAGAATTAGTATCTCTTATGATGTTGTATATGATGAATATAGGAGATAACTTTCTAGGGAGTGTTAGGATTACTTTTCTTATTTGACCCTTAAGAAGCAAATACCAATCAGATTATTGCCAGTATACATTATCGTCCAAATATTCATTTAAGCAGAATGGGATTAAAGTATCATTGACTTAGTATTGCATTACCTTATAACTGTGAACTTTGAGTGTAACAGGGACAGATAGCAATTATTAAACAAGGATTTAATGATATCTTTCAATAATTGTGCGCATAGAATGACGTAGGCAAGTGACAAACGGGAGCCGCTTACGTACTGTTCAATTAGTACGATGCTGAAATATAATAAAATCAGGTCTACAAAAGATTGTGTTGCCTGTACAAACTCGCCTTCACTATTGTACATCTTAATCCTGTTCACTGAACTGTACTCGCTCATTCGCCTGCTTTACGGCACTACTCTTTCATGATTGCTTAACGTGCTTGTAATTTTGGATATCTGTGATATGAAACTATACGATTTACCATTTTTGAGTTATCCCTAGTCCATTAATTACTGTTCCCCCTATTCACAGCCACATTTGGCCAAATCTTGTACAAATGTTATTTTCTACTATAGCAGTTCACATACAATTGAGGTTGTTCATGTCTAACTTGGCTAAGCGTTTTTCTTAACTTATTTGATGGACAGCCATTCGTACAACAACAACCTATCTATACTATTGTACCTTTATTATGTACGCTTGAGCACTGCTTACTGCCTAAGCATGTATTCATTCTCCTAGCCTTACTATTAATCACTTAACTGATTCGATAATTTATTCATTTCACTATGTATATCTTGATACTGTTCACTGTACGATACTCGCTGACTTGATCAATTGATCTCTCACTCACTCGCCTGCTTCACGGCACTTCTCTTTCATGCTGGCTTAACGTGCCTGTAATTTTTAGATATCTGTGTGTGGTTCAATAATAAACGAAATCAACCTTTCGTCTTCGCCTTCTGATTTATACACCGTTGGGACGTTATCGAGTAACAGTTATCAGGACGAACAATATACGAAGTTTAGGGATAATATTAAATATCCACCCCTACATACTTCTTGAAAAACCACGAAATACTGGTCATCGGCCAGTGAAGTTAGAAAATGATTGCACATCACAAATAAACTGAAGTAGAAACTATGAATCCTTGATTATCAACTCAGTGATTCAAAAGTATTGAGTTTGATCCCTAGCAAGAACGTGTGCACATACTGCTGATAAGTCTCACACAAGGATGAAACAACTGTCCAATGAAGTCTGATTTCCATTAGTGATCTAAGATTAGTTCTTGATGTAAACTATTAAATGTGTTACTCTTTACCTACGATCTAATTGTGTACTTCTCTATGAATGCAATGTTTTAGAACTAATTATTTTATGTAATAAACATATCTTTTCGTTAAATATCAAGCAAATAAGAATAACAGTGGTTAATTATAACAATGATAAGTTAAATTTTTTTAAATACTTAGCATTCTGCAGATAAATGAACGAGATTTTTTGGCCGAGCAAAACATATTAAGAATAAGTGGAGAAAAACGGAAATAAAACTGTTTCGATTACATGTCCGAGACAAGCTGAATTATATATAATAAGGGTAGTAGAGAGGAGGATTTAATTTTCAAGACTATAAAAATGTTCTAGACTTCCTTAAACATGAGAAATAGATGGAGATTAGTGAAGAAAAAAAAGATAGCGATAAGATTTGACCAGATCAGTAGTAGTAGTAGTAGTAGTAGTAGTAGTGGTAATAACATATGTGACAAAAGTATACGTTAAAAAGTTTTTTTTTCAGAGATAATAGTAAACTATAGATAACTATTGATCGAAAGCGAAGATACTACTGAATACTAATAAGTAGTAATCATTTGTATGTAAATAAACAGGTATAAATGAATCAATGGAATAAATTATATCACTAACTGCCAGACACAAAACAAATATGTACAATCATCACATAGTAATATTAAACCATCGAAAAATTGAAGAAAATAGAACAAAACGCTGAAACAAACACATAGAGTTGACAAAATACAGATTCAATTGAATAGGAAAAATAACATGTGCGTATGATAGTTAGATTGTTATTACATTATTGTCATCATTGTTCATGACTACCAATGGTAATAATAATGAGAATAATTAGGGGAGAACAAGAGAGAACAAAACTAAAAATGCCATCCTCATTACTAAAAACATGAATCATTTAACACAAATTAGGATGATGTTGATCATGAAAATAAGTAGGTAAAGCGAAAAAGTTCATTATTCATGTGTGAAAACACTTTTTGACCAATAATAAAAACAAACATTAAAAGGAGAGAAAAAAAAACAGCAGTATAATCACCAGTGATAGAATTTGTTTAAGCAAAAATCTAAATATAACGAAACAAATATTTCAATAAATAAAGGTGAAGGAATAGGATGAATGAAATACAAGGGTAGAAGTAAACACTGATTGAACGAATTATTGCGTAATACTATTACTACTACTATTACTATACAGAGACAAACATTCATACACTGAACAACTAACTATACACTGGAAATTTGACATTCTGAAAAGCAAGGTGAAAAGACACTTGTTGAAAAAAAAAACATAACAGATAAACATATATGGATAGAATTGTTCAATGATTAAATGAAAACATCATTTTAAAAAACCTATATGTGACTAATATAGAAAGATGTCAAGAAATGAGTACAACTGGTATTTTAGGGAATGTAAAGAAGGGATTATTATCCATACTTTCCCCACTCACTCCTTGACGGAGTAATATCCATCTATCCATCAGTTTACTTGTATACTATTCATGAATGAATTAACAACAGGAATCGATTTGTATTAGTTACCAACTATTAGTAAAATGAAAGAAAGAAAAAAGATCAAAATTCACACTCTGATGACTTGTACAATGAATTTTTGAACAGCTACATGATCGTGATTTGTGTAGAATAATATACGACAGTGACAGTAATTTTATTCAGACCATTAAACAACGAAAAAAAAAATAATCAAAAATTGCAAATCTTTCACATATCATGGAAAGAAAAAGTATAAAGACAAATAGAACAAAAGGATAAAGATTTAGACTGAACTGGAATGTACAAATTGAATATTTCATTGTTAACATTGAAGAAAAAAAACACATAGAAAGTAGATGACTGCAAGTGTAAAAACAAGGACAAGATTTCTATAATGTATACATATAATTATCGAAAGATATGTCACATAGTAAAGAATACATATATATGTGTGTGTATCCCTGTATGTACAACAACAATTTGGATAAACTATACGGGGTGTGTAAGTGTTTACAATAATTTTATTGTTAGAATGACTGTATTGAGTATATATATATATATAATATTCATACTCTTGAATACGAATGACGAGGCAAACATTGAGAAAATCAACAAACAATATGATGTAAATGTAATACAAGATGGCAAAAGAAAATGTATATAAATAATTAAAAAGATCGCTTTTATGAGATAAGTTTGGAGATAGCTAACAAATCTTTATTGATTAGTAACGACGAGTATCTGGAAAATAGAGAAAGAAAGAAACAATTAATTATTGTTACACATAAGTTTAAATAAGAAAAGAGAAAATCAATGACCAGAACACAGGGGAGGTTAGGGCTGACTAAAATCATTGGTGAATGAATACACACACGCACACACACGAGAGCGTTCATAGCCTAACACCATTATGTTATATTGTGTATACAATCAAGAAATCTGAAGTGTGGGTACAAAAATGAAATATAATGTTGAGTTGAAGTACTTAAACATCATTTTTGAGAAGGTGGAGAGTTGTAGGGCAAAAAGATTTTTTTTTAGTATAGAGTTATGTCCTCAGAGCTTGATTAGTTTAACAGGAAAGCTTTCATCGTCTTTCTAGACATCAATCAACACAAATTTATTATAAAAGTTAGTTAATAAAATTCCTGTGCCTATAACTAACCACTTCTTTGGTTAACATTAAATATGATTGATTATTGTCAATACGTTTCATATCATTGTTTGTATGTTTAAAAGTAATTAAAATAGATAGGGTGTTGAGTTTGTACTGGTAATGTTTTTGTCCAGAATAATAATGAAACATTTCAAACACATTATTAGAAGGGAGTTTTGTGCAGATTTTAGTATAGTATATAGTTGAAATAATGAGTCAATTGAAGCTAGACCACCATGGAAAAACTGGAAGCACTAGACGGCCGTTTAGTCCTATTGTGTGACTCCACAGCAGTGAAACAATAGAACGAAACGGCCGTCCAGTGCTTCTAGGTTTTTCATGGTGATCTAGCTTCAATTGATTCATGATTTCAACTATATAAAATTTCTAACTCAGTCAACTAGTTTAGAGAACGCATCTCTATCAAACAAAAATATAAAAAATATACATATTCAAATTAATCAAGAGAGTTAGAATGCAAATAAACACAGTTTTATAGACTAGTAAGAATATATATGTGATATCTTTATTGAGTCTTTAGTGCAGCTTCAAGACTAAACCGCTCAACTCAGAGAATACAACATCCTTAACATTAGTCTAACGTGTTACAACTACAGTTTTCAATGACATGGAATGAGAGCAACTAATGTCGATTGAGAAATATCATGATAATACCTGTAGCAAAAGCAGGTAGAAGAAGAGAGTAATGTGATGGGAATGAAAGCTAAATGTTTTAACAAGTATGCTATCATTCAACTAATTAAATAATAAACCCATAAGGAATAACCATATATTTTACACTGTTTATAGCATTATTGCAATACTTAGCGTAATGTTTATACACGAGAAAAACAAGCACATAAACTAATAACAACAACACTTGTAAATATTATCACACACTGCGTGGTTCTTTTAAGATGCTCCCGAATGCCCTGGTACGGCTGAGAGTGGAAAGTCCACTCTCCCTCTCGAAATGTTCTCACATGGCCACGCGAATATATAGCCTCTGACAGGGAAGTCCTACTCACTGCCTTCTCATGGCATTACTGTTGTTTACGAAATTGAGAGGACGATAAGCGAATGTCCGGAGTGTTAACCGGGTTGGTGGACACGGCGCGTCCACCTGGGGGAGTTGGAAAACCCTGATTCCAAACCAATCGTGCATATGGGCTCCAGGATGTTGAAGCAACAAATGGCGTATGAATTAACCGTTGGTTACCGTCCACCATGGGACTGCATCTCCACACAATGCTTCACTGCCTTATGAATCAGACCTTTAGGTCAGGGTGTGGTCCCCTAAGAAAACCACCTGTTTCGGTTTGAGCACCCGGGCAGTATCACAGCCCTCACACATATCAAATGAGATTTGTGTGGCGTATATACATCTGGTGCCACCGTGTACCAATATTTATCTGTTCAAATAAATAAATAAATATGTTTCTAAGACAAAAATATAAATAATTAGAATGAATAATTTTCATCATTAATAATTCATATTTACAAGCTATACGGTAAAAAGTGGTAAATTCAACATGGGAAGTATTAAATGGATAAAACATCTAATCATTGTTCTGTAGTATCACAACCAATGAGAGATGTTACTGTTTTGCTAAAAATATACCACTAGAATCTTTTTTTTGTCTCCATAAAAAAATATGTCTGAAGTAATTAAGAGTGTTGAGTTAGAATTCGGAGACATTCATCAAAGAGAAATTAGTAACCGACTAATTGAATCACAGAATAGAACTCAATGTAAAAAAAAGTTCGAATTTGTCATAGTATCAACGAGTTACAATGCATACAGCTAATTACCGTTATGTAGTTTCACCAACACATAGAAATCAATTTAATGGGACAAAATTGATAAGAGAAAGAAATTGCTTGTATGTTTTATAATAATAGTATGTCTTATTTGTTTGAAATAAGGCACATTATTTGCTACTTTAAACCATGATAGGCACCAATGATGCAGCATAACATCAAAGCCTAACTAATTTGTTTAAACTACACAAGTAATAACACATTCATTTGTAAGTATTTGACTCTACTATTTAGTGAGGGAAATCAATTTCAGTAGTCTTTAACGCACTAATAATAGGAAACATTAAAGCACTTACAAATGAAATAAATGGCTAACAGATAAAAACGATGATATAACATAAAGTGTATCATTCCATGTTCCAATAAATAAAAAGAAAACAAGAAAAGCAGAAATGTTGTAGTCAAAATGATAGTAATAATAATATAATCATAAGAACAAACGACTGGAAAGTAGATTAATTAAAATTGGCTAGCGGTTAGCAGTTGAGTTCTTAACATAAATGAAAGGAAAATATAAACGCTTACGAATGAAATTTATATTTACTACAAAAGTTCAAGGCTGTTTGAAATCAGTAGTTTAGTGAATAATTTATAGGTGTATAAAGCGAAAACGTATTGGGGTTCAAATCTTAGTGTAGACATCAACACTGAGGTACATCCAGTTAACAATGCCTGAATAGAACGAGACAGGATCCTTGGATTCCATCGTTAGCATGAATACAACTTCAATAAAACTGACAACTAAGTAATAATATCAAGGTAATTCAATCAGCATGTACATATATTTTAATAGAAACTGATCAGCAGCAGTTAAGAATATAAACAATACGAAAATACAAAACCATACAAATACAGTGGATTGAACAACTGTTTACATATGCATATAATTATGTTCAACTAGTATATCGTATATTCATATTGTAAATGAGTAACTCCATTATAACTTAAATGATGTACAGACTGACGTTTCCGTACATTAGCATCATCAAGGTTTATTGATGACTAACTGATAAAATTAACTAGACTAATAAATCTTTTTAATACGGTAAATCAGTCTGTTTAGCTTGTAATATTATCTTATGTAAAACGAGTTTAATAGACATTATATCAAATGGTCGATAAAATCAATCAACAAAAGAACCAATTTTCTTACATTCTAAAGTTAACAAGGTACTTTATTTTGAGTAGGTTGATTAGAGAATGAGAGAGAGAGAGATAAATAAGTTTTTACTTTACATTGATAAAATTACTTTCTAATTTTCTGAATACTTTCCATAAACAAATGATTTCAAGAAGGGAATTGATAAATGTTTATTAAAACTTTGTTTACCAGAAATATATTGAAAAAAATCATTTTCAGAATTAAGTGTTCAACTGGTGTCTTGTATATGTATAATGTATGAATAAAGACATGATAGATATGCTCGTACGACATTTTTAATGTTTGTTTAATTCAAGTAAATCATTGAACAATTGAAGCTGCACTTAGTTTTAAAACAGCTTATATTAGTTAAGGTGCTTTAAAGACTGGTCACGGAGTCCGAAACACTATTCATGTATTAGTGTGGTTGATAATTTTAACCCGCTAATTCATGATTGAAATAATTTACTCTTTTTGTATGTTAGGCGACTGGAGGTAGTCGGTGGGATATGCTCCACGATCTAGGTTTCTTACCAGTTGGCACTTGTCACTAAACCATGACTTAAGGATACTTAAGATAAATAAAGACTTGCTTGTATTAGGTCCCGTGTGACCGGACCGTAATAACAGGAAATTAGCTGTTCGATCTCTCTCCAGTCCCATTATCACCTACCTATACGGCCAAGATGAGACTGAAGCTAAAGAAACACTGGACAACTGGACAAACAGCACTACAAAGGTTCAATACAGCCTTCCTTCGAGATACTCACAAGCTTCATGAATTCAATATAACTCTCAACAACAGGTTCCAAGCTCTACAGGATCTACTGAATGAACAAGAAACTACGATGGAGGACAACTGGAAAGGGATAAAAGAAGCACTAACTTCAACGTGTCAGGAGGTTCTTGGTACTAAGAAGCATCATCACAAGGAATGGATCTCTATGGGAACCCTGGACAAAATTCAAGAAAGGAAGAACAAGAGACTAGCAATTAACAACAGCCGAACACTAGCAGAGAAAGTCAAAGCACAAGCAGACTACGCAGAAGCAAACAAGGAAGTGAAGAAAAGCATTAAAGCCGACAAGCAGAAATATATGGGAGAACTAGCAACGACGGCGGAAAAAAGCTGCAAGAGAAGGGAATATGAAACAACTATATGACACAACGAAGAAATTGGCAGGGAGATATAGCGAACCAGAGAGACCAGTCAAGGATAAAGAAGGAAAGACAATCATGGATATTGAAGAACAGAGGAAAACATGGGCAGAATACTTCGAGGAACTGCTGAATAGACCAGCTCCATTGAATCCACCGAACATCGAAGCAGCCCACACTGACCTTCCAATAGATATCACTCCAACGATCGAAGAAGTCAAGATGGCCATCAGACAAATCAAAAGTGGGAAGGCGGCAGGACCTGACAATATACCAGCAGAAGCACTGAAGTCAGACATTGAAATAACTGCAAACATGCTTATCCTTTTATTCAAGAAGATTTGGGAAGAGGAACAAGTGCCAATGAACTGGAAAGAAAGATATCTCATCAAGATACCAAAGAAAGGAGATCTGAGCAAATGTGAGAACTACAGAGGCATCAGTTTGTTATCAGTACCAGGAAAAGTTTTCAACAGAGTGCTGCTGAATCGGATGAAAGACGCAGTACATGCCCAACTTCGAGATCAACAGGCTGGATTCCGTAAGGATAGGTCGTGCACGGGCCAGATTGCGACACTACGGGTAATTGTTGAACAATCAATTGAATGGAACTCATCACTATACGACAACTTCATTAAGTATGAGAAGGCGTTTGACAGCGTGGATAGGAGAACATTATAGAAACTTCTTCGACACTATGGAGTTCCTCAGAAGATCGTCAACATTATCCAAAACTCATACGATGGATTACAGTGCAAAGTGGTGCATGGAGGACAGCTGACAGGTGCATTTCCAGTAAGGACCGGAGTCAGACAAGGCTGTTTACACTCCCACTTCCTCTTCCTTCTGGTGATTGACTGGATTATGAAGACTTCGATATCTGAGAGAAAATACGGAATACAATGGACTTCGCAGATGACCTAGCCCTCCTCTCTCATACACACGAACAAATGCAGACGAAAACAACAAATGTAGCAGCAGCCTCTGCATCAATAGGTCTCAACGTACATAAAGGAAAAGCAAGGTTTTCAAATGCAAAAATGAGAACACCAACCAAACCAATCACAATTGATGGCGAAACTCTAGAAGAGGTGGAAACATTCAAGTACCTGGGGAGCATCGTTGATAAACAAGGAGGATCGAGTGCAGATGTAAAGGCGAGGATTGGCAAAGCAAGGGCAGCATTTCTACAATTGAAGAACATATGGAACTCAAAACAACTCTCAACTAAATTCATAGTGAGAATCTTAAATACGAACGTCAAGACAGTCCTACTGTACGGGGCTGAAACGTGGAGAATTACTACGACCATCATCAGAAAGGTACAAGTATTTATAAACAGTTGTCTACGCAAAATACTCAACATCCATTGGCCGGATATTATCAGCAACAGCGTTTTATGGGAGAGGACAAACCAGGTTCCAGCTGAAGAGGAAATTAGGAGAAGACGTTGGAAGTGGATCGGACATACATTAAGGAAATCACCAATGTGCATCACGACTCAATCCCTAACTTGGAATCCTGAAGGGAAGCGGAAAAGAGGAAGGCCAAAGAACACACTACGCCGGGAAATAGAAGCCGATATGAAAAGGCTGAATAGTAACTGGAAAGAACTGGAAAGGAAGGCTCAGGACAGAGTTGGATGGAGAATGCTGGTGAGCGGCCTATGCTCCTCGACGAGGGGTAACAGGCGTAAAGAAATAAGTAAGTAATACCGCTAGTAGGACGGAAGACCTACTTACTAACTGATACATAGACCAATGAATAAAAAGTAAGACATTAACGCTTATTGGCTCTTGAATATCTTATAACCCAGTGTGCGATCAAAAGATGAAGCTAAAACCAGATCAGTTCTCTGATGTACTCAATTCAATAGTGGCTGAAAATCCAGACAATAACATACTTGAAATATCTGACAGTACACCAACAATGGGGAAGTTACTGAGCATACAAAACTTAGCTATAAGTGATATAAGACCAGAGTAATAGAGAAAGAATTAATTAATGATAAATTGGGGAAAAATAAGACATACAGTAATGATTTATAGATCAAATGAAAGTTCAGAAATACAAAAATATAACGGTCTATGCGTTTATTAGTTATGAAATAAAAATGTAAACAATGATTATTTGTAACATAGTTTTAACATTTTTTTGTACTATTCGCCTAATTATATCACATTTAATCATTCATGAAACTGAAGCTCATAGTCCAATTTGGATTCACTTTACTTAGCTTCATAATTTAAGACATTACTACTGATATATAGGGACTATGATTAACTCATATTGTATGTATGCAAATTAAATTCATTATTAAGCTAAATAAAAGAGGTTAAAGTTGCCAGGTTTCAATCATCATGTAGGTACTTAGTTAGTTGCATCTATTTTGGTTTGAATGGCGTACGAAAGGAAAACAAATTCCTATACATATATATAGATATATACGAATAGCGGAACTCAAAGCCGACTAAGCAAATTTATATTTTAAATATATGGGAGATATTGAAAGCAAACTAACAGATTCATTAAGGCTACTACCTGATAAGAGAGGTAGTAATATACAAACAGCAAAATGCTTTCATTCGTTAGATTAGATGCAGAATCCAAATTGTGTTTTTTTGGTAAAAATAAAAACCAGAAAACCCAGTGTATATGTCATAATACTTATGCATTGGTTATTCATTAAATAATTGTCACCAATATTAATCGAACAATAACAAAAATAACTATATTAATAATACATTCTATGCAAACCATGCAACCTCAGTAAACAATGATAGTTGAGGATTTAGAAATTGGTGAATAAGAATATGAAACAGCATTTAATTCAACAACACAAATTGGTGAGTAATTCCATGTGAATGAGTACGCACTGTGAAATATAGCGTTAAAAAGGGGGGGGTCGATGAAAGAGAACTCAATTATTATTAAGCCATACACACAAAATTATATATATACATATATGTATTAGTGCTTAAGAGCTCACCGAGAGTACTTAATTATACTACATGTCTAGTTATATGTTAAGTGTATTTGAGAATTAGAAAAATAGTAATAGTCGTAGTAAATACAATTGATTCTCAGATGTTGGATCATGGTAACGTACAAAATAGACAAATACTATTTGTTTGTTATTTTTAAAAAGAAACTACATACTATGTACAAGTATATTTTGTTTAGATGCTATTATTCTGTTGGGAGATTTTTTAATTCACTTTTCGACATTGACGCTTTCTTATAAATGATTCACTAAGTATTGGGACAGGTCGTGGTGTACTTCCAGATGATTTAATAGAACTACGTGAAGAAGGCATTGGACAATCTTGTTGTTTATCAAGAATTAGGACTGGTAAATGATGACGACGATTATATGGTTGATGATGGTTATGATGATAAGCAGTTGTAGAAGATGATGATGACCAACTAGGGATTTTAAATGCCATCCCATAAGGGTCATAGATGGGAGAGGAAAGTGTTGAAGAAGCATCATTCATAAATTTCTCTAATGATGCACAATCAATTTGACTAAATCGATTAGATTGTCTCTTTTTAATATTGTTTATCGAATCAGACGATTCATTATTTATTTTCAATGTATTATTATTATTTGACGGAAGTACTTTATGCGATGTGATTTGATGGCTACTTTGTATAATACCACATGATTCTGGTTGATTATTGGCTATTTGTAATAAATTATGGTCATAATAAGATGATTTGTTAAATGATGATAGTAGATTATTCTGGCTATCATTAGTATGTTTATCAGTAGTATGTGAATATTTATCACTTGAACTTGATGTACTGAAACTAATTTGACTAGGTGTACGTTCAAAATCAGATGCTAATATATCGTAAAAATGTGCGATACGTTGATTATTATTGGATGAAGATATTAAAGTGGTAGATCTGTATCCGGATTGTGGTTTAAATCTTCTACTGTAATTATTTCCTGTAATTGATCCTTGACCATTGTCAGACGACATGGTAGAAATGGAGGATTCCGGGGTGGAGATCCTTCGATTGAGTTCGCCCGTACTACGGTACCGGTTCGGCATTTTTGTGATTGGCATAATGTTGGAGGAATTGGATCCCAATTTACTTCTAATCGCATAAGGTTGTTTTGATGATGAACTAAGATATGAGTTTTTTCTTGAGTACGTACCGTTACAACTTCGGACTTTGGATGGACACCACACATCAGATTTTGTAAAGCTGATGTTACTAAACGATGTATGGTAGAGGAGCGTTTGAGTTGAGTTGTTTCGATCTGATCTATACAAAGGTGAAACATCTTGGGAATAATTTATCATGATTTTATGCAAATGGTCAAGTAAAATTTCGATCGAGTGCAGGAAAGAATATCACAAAAGAAATGAATAGATATGATCAAGTATACACACGCACACAAAGATACGCCCGTAATACAAAGCATTATGTTATAACATAAGTAAGCACAATAAAGGACCAGAAAACAAACCATATTTATGAAAAAGAGAAACAAAAAGAAAACATCATTACAATGAATTTGTAATATATATAATAATAAAATACATTTTTGTTTAAATTATCACTTACAACCTACACAATGAGCGGTCAACAAGTCAGTTAGTCATAACACAATGTAGAACCTGATATATAAATATATCGGTCCTAGTTATCAAACTACACAACAGTAAAACGAGACGGAATTATTACAAGAAACGCCAATGTAGCGATGAAAGCAGTAATATCATTTGTAGTAAACATTAAGCGTAGATAATATGAATTGAGAAGAATAAATTCATAAGATGAAAATAATAAGACAATTAAAAAAGTCAATACAAAAATTGAATACATATGAGCCGTTGAGAGAGATTCATATTACATATATTCTTAAACCGCAAGGACTACAACTTAGTAGTTACAAGACAAAACGGCCCAGTCGGACGATAACTTTACAAGTTGATGTTATATATTGAGAAAGGACACATCTAGCTTTCCTTGAACTTAATATTATGCCAGTGTACGTCAATAATCGGGGTAGGGAGTGACTAGGCAATGCATAACGTACTAGATGTCTCAACCACCTGTGTTGAGTGGGACTGACTACTTTATCAAACGATTTCCATTTTTATCTAGTAGCCTGTACATAATTCGTCCATAAAAAGATATGAAATAGAAATGATAAACACTTTACCATATATCAGGCAGTCGGAAAAACTCATCAGCCTTTGATAAAACTCATTGAACTTAAAAAATAAATTGATATTAAAACGTTGAGAAAAACCGCAATTCAATCAGAGATCTAAATCTAAATTCTTCGAAGAGAAACAAAATATCCAAGAAATTGCTAAATCAATTGACAAATTTTGTTTAAAAAAAGGATAGTATTCTATGAAAGCCAAACTCTTTGAAGATCTGATCTAATTAGTCAGTGATTAAAGAGAAACAATTCTAAACTTGTATTCGACAGGGGATGTTTAGGAGAGATAAAGACATACAAAATATAAAGTTATAAGCAAATATCAAAGGAATTCTCATGTATAAAGAATTGTCCATTCAAATCCCATAGTGGTAGAAGTAGTAAGAGTATAAGCAGTAAACCGAAAGATTATGGTTTGAAGATGTTATTGAAGGAGTATAATACAGTGAAATAAATTTGAAAAGAGAAAAAGTATAGGGACACGAAACGGCAGTACAAATTAGATTATGAATAAATAACCATTTAATGTTTTAGTTTATTCAACAACAATCCAAAAGAATAATATGATAGCAGAGACTGACCAGTTGCAGTTCTAACAAATCGATGGGAAGATTCAAACAAACAATACTAAGTTGAATTTAGAATAATATGATAGTTTATGATAAGAGAAAAAAATAAGTAAATGAACTAAATCTCACCTGTCGATTTACCGCTTTCATATGTTGTTCCTCTGTAAAAGAAAATGAGAAGAGAAAAATTAGGAAAATATAAAGTTAATAAATCACTTATCATCAATAAAGTGCTTGTTATAGATGTTTAATGTTTCAAAATAAAATATGATTTTAGTAAGATAGGATGAAAGTAACAAGATGAATAACGAAACAAATGGAAATAATGGAGCAGCACTAATGAAAATAAGAAAAAGTAAGAGTCGATTATAAGGTTCAAGAAAACAGAATGGAAAGGTATTTATGAATACATACAAGAATTTAAGATTAAGAGCGAAGTAGAGAGTGAATACATCTAAGCGACTGTGAACAATTCTGCGACATGTCATCTAATATCTTTAACCGCTAGTCGCGACTATTAAGCGGACCACAACCAGTTAGTTTTAAACGGCGTTACAGAGCTCTGTCTGATAGCCAATGACTTCAAGTCTTAAATTGGCCACCTCCAAATTTCTTCCAAACTACTTCTATATTGCTCAGTACTCCATGCCTAACCTAGACACTGCTTACGTGGTAGTCACACGAAAGGAAAATACTGCTTTTAAGATAAGAATGATCAAACATCAGTAGCCAATGCATGTCCCCTACTTTTAGAGACCGTATTTCAAGGCCATAACGTAATACAGACAAGACAGCTGTGCACGTCATTTGGTTTGTATATGTATATCTTGTCTACACTACAAGTGACGAAAGTTGTAAGCGCCTAAACAAACCTTTTGAATCTGTCCCGAGATTTTGTCCGATACTAAATCACCAGGGCTGACGGGACAAAACACAGAGCAAGAAGAATTTCAGGGTAACAATTTTAGAAAAGGTTTGAAAATCAAGTGGTTCGAACGACAAATAATACCGCTAAACAAGTAGACGTTTCGAAGAAGTGCCACAGTACAACATCAATTTACAGAGACCAGATTAATTATGACATTGTTTACCGCTAGTCAGAAGACTGATCAATGAAAAATATCTCAGATTAAGAACATTTGTGACTCAGAATAAGGGTTTTGAGGGTATCGTGTTTACAAGAAGTCTCTGTCTAAATAGATCAATAGTAGCATCCGTGAACAAATAGCAAGTTATATGTGAATAAACAATGAATATTCAACAGTTTATATCGCTTTGTTGAGTAAAGAATTTCCAAATAGTTCACCACTTCCTACTTAGCATTTCATGAAGCTCATTGTTTAAACGTTCAAGTTATATATACTTCTTTCGATAGATTGTTTTTATAGGATTTTCGAAAAATGAAAACATTATCACACATATATTTCTAACAATTTCTTACAGAAAGTCGCCGTAGCTCAAGTAGTTCACGGGTAATGTGTGTGTGAGTGGACGGAGCATTTAGTGATACAAATTTGAATCTCTTAGGGATTGTGAGTTCCCTGAAGATTGTGAATACACCTTGTTAGTGAAGGAAACTGATATGGAACTAAAGTCTACAGCTACCTTATGATCAAAGTAAACTGTGATTTCAAGAGTGATCGAAATCGTGGAAAACTGATTTTTATTTACAGCTGAAATGTTTAGAACCTGAATAATTCTAACTTGATTTACCAGGTTTAACTTATGGGAACGAAATCAGTCATTTCTTGTTGATAAAAAGATATTGAAATAGCGATAATTATTATGTGGCAAAACCAAACATTATTCAAAGAAATGTATTTCTTTGTAGATCAACTTAAATACTGTTATCACTGTAAAGGGTTTCTGGAGACTTAAATGTTATCGAAGTCACGAACGGGCCTAAGTTAGACAACCGATGAAAACCGGGAAGTATTGGACAGTGGTTTCGTACTAGTATGGGACTTGTGAGCAGTGCAAATCCACTAGTGATTGGATGTAGGACCTTCAAGCTTCGGAGCAACCCCTATCATTAAACGGCTATGGAAATCTATAACATGGAAGCTTCTTATCGACTGACGATTTGAGCATATCTTAAACAAGGGGCATTGTGATATTATCGAGATTACGTTGAGAACTCCAGTTAAAATTTGACCAGCACCAGGAATGAGGTGATATGAAATTCATTTCTAATGAATAATCGATAAGTGTAGACGAAACAGATATCCAATTGAAATACTGGAGAAATATATAGAAAGTAGTAAATTCAACGAAATCAAACAGAAATGATTTAAAAAGCAAATGTATGAATGCGTTTTACATGAAAAAAGTCAGTATTATACATATATATCTTCATGCTTACTTGTCAGCCAAATCAATAGTATCTACGGTACGGTTGATAAATAAAAGAGGGGAAGAGTGAATAAGTAAAATATTAACAGTGCATTAGGCGAAATTGTAAGCATTGGTTATGATAAGAGAAAGCGTTTCAATAAATTTATATTAAAAATTTCCTTAAAACGTATTGTTTAACCAGTTATGTACAGTCGCATTATGTCAAGTATGTGACTACGAGCTAATATGTACACGCACAACCTCGTCACAGATCGAATAATCCAGGGTTTGCGGTCTGTTCCACTTTGAATACTACGTTATAAATAGATGATTTAGCAACATGAACACACATGAACAAGTAACACAATAACAAGGATGATTTTCAAAAATCTGATTTAGGCTATAAACAGAAATTGTGGCTTAGTGATGAAGGATGACGGGAGTTCATCTTTTCGAAAATCTATTCTATTTTTACTTTAAATTAGGCAACCGCCTGTAGCTTTTCTAGAGTTGCTGCCGGTCCCAAGCCCACACAAAGGAGGATGGTTCGGCATGGGGTTAGCGACCCCATCCCGTAGAAAAACTAACTAGCTAAAAAAAAAATGCTAACCAGAAAAAAATATTCAAACCATTTAAACACTGCCTTCCGAGTTCAAGGAAGAATTATGACGCCTCGTCATGAAAGCCGAAATTCTTCGGAAGTCACGAGACCGATACCCCTTCTAACAACCATAGCACCACGCTTTATAGGTACATGGAACGTCCGAACAATGTGGGAGACCGGGAAGACCAGTCTAATAGCTGCGGAAATGAGGATACAACTTGGCAGTATTCGGAATTAGAGAAACCCATTGGGCACAAGCTAGACAAAAAAGGCTAGATACGGGAGAGATGTTGCTGTACTCTATACATCAACTTCATTGATTATGGGAAGGCGTTTGACAGTGGGGACAGGAGAACATTATGGAAACTTCTTCGACACTATGGAATTCCTCAGAAGATTCTCAACATTATCCGGAACTCATACGATGGACTACAGTGCAAAGTCCTGCATGGAGGACAGCTCACGGATGCATTTCCAGTAAGGACCGGAGTCAGACAAGGCTGTCTACACGCCCCATTCCTCTTCCTTTTGATGATTGACTGGATTATGAAGACTTCGACATCTGAGAGGAAATACGGAATATAATGGACAGCTCGGGATCAGTTAGAAAATTTGAACATCGCAGATCCCCTGGCCCTTCTATCCCATGCACACACAAGAAATTGAGCAACCGTCCACTATTGTTTTCAGTGACTTAATGTCTCACAACAGACCTGGTTGAACTCATGATTTGAATTACAAAACTACTAAGATTTACACAAAATCCGCCTGTGATAATAATCATATGATCACTGGTGACTGACATCAAGAGTTATTTCCTTAAGTCCTTAAGAGAAGTAGTGGCCAGTGAAGTTCAAACACGTGTGTTGTGAGATAGGAACTCACTGAAGACAATTGGTGAACGGTTGCTCGATTTCGTGGATTGGTTGAATTTAGATATTAACACCGTTGGATTCTGGCTCAGTGGTCTAGAGGTTGAGCATTTGCGCGCGAGATTGATAGGTTCTGGGTTCGAATCTCGCTTAAAATACTAGTAAGTTGTGAAACAACACTGTCAGAAACATTATTTCACCATAAAATCAAATATTTGGTCACACTTGTTACACAGAGTTTGATGTAAACTTTCATTAACAAAAAAACTGGATAAAGTCAACGGTACATCATCACATGTAAAGTCAGCTGATAATTGTCGTAAATTAAAATCGAATTACCTATTAATGAAGTACTAATGTTAAACTGAAAAGATATAAATAATACAAATTTTTAAAAAAGGAAAGAAACAACCACAAATGAAATATTAATATAAACAATTATGAAATGGTACACATACCATCTAGAGTTTTGATAGCAGCCATTGGACGATGAAGACGTTTGGAAGTACTCTGCTTTAATGCTATTTGTTCGATAAAAAAACAGTAAAACAAAACAAATGAAAAGTGAATAGCTGGCTACATATAAAGCGATTTTTAAAAGAAAGTAACTTTATGAAATTATAATAATATGATAAAGGGGATGGACAAAAAATGTGCTTTAAAACGAATTCAGACAAAAGACAATATATCAGTGATATATATATATATATATATATATATATATTGAATTAAGGTATTGAACAGAAGCACATACAGATAGGGGGGGAGAAAGACACACGGATGAAAGAAAAGATGAACACACATTAGACAACAACACAATCAGAGTACTACGTAACAGAAAAAGAAATTTCATAATGAAAGCATTTCAAGGTCAAGTAATCAGTTAGGTGAACCGGACTAGAAAAAATTTTCAAATTTTAACCAAAAAAAATGAATTGACGATAGTCGATGAGAGAAAAAAGGTATTGTGCTCATCAAACTATGAATAAAACAGTTAATTTTAAGCATCAAAAATATATGATATACTGATTATATCACTTAATATAATGTACAATCTAATATAGTGCAGAACTGAATCAGTATCACACCAACATTTAATGGCCAAAAAGAAGTAAGCATATGTTACATATGCTACATATAGAGTAATCATAGATTTCGAATGTATATATTTCAACAATTAAATAGCATATACACTAGAATTTTTATCTAAATCGAAGGGGACTTTTAACCTCCATTAGTTCTGAAGTAATATATGAAGTAGTGGTTAAGTGGCTAAAGCAAATCACTCAGAGTTTGTGACAGGCTGAAACGCAACACAATATCTACTTCAGTTTCATCACTCATGTAGTATGACTAGTCCTTGAACACCACCAATATATATATATATATATATATATATATCAAGTCGAGTTACATAACTGTCTACATTAGGCATACATAAACAGTTTGAAAGTATTACATGAAGATAATCATTAAGAAAAATATCAAACCTTTATTATAAGTAAAAGTAATCAAAGTTTCATATCACTTTGTATCGTTGCTTAGAAAGTTAATCAACAATCAAGACGTTGACTTAGGTGGGAAAATGTAAGCACAATATTAGGAAGAAGTGGGTAATTCAGTATGTTTTACTTTGACACAATTTAGTACTAACAATTGTCTTAAAATCCGATTACTTTTGAGAAGGTTATTAAGAGAATGGGATGAACAGACTTGAAATATATGGCTCTAATAATGATATTATAGGACAGGAAAACTATCAACGGCCGAGATTATTTGCATTTAGTTAACCTGTTAACTTCTTGGACTGTTCACGGTAGTCTAAACATTTATTACCATTCATTGACCAGACATACATTTTTATCCACTTAGTTTTCAGATATGCATAGTATGAGAGCTAATCGCCGACCGTAAATGCCACATGGTGGTCAAGTTTGGATTATAGCTTGACCGGCCTATACAGGCTGGAACATTCGTCCCTTTGGGTTGTGCCGAGTTGTTTGGGAAATAATAAGACTAAAAGCAACAAACCTAGGTTTTGTGCAAGTTCGCACTCATCAGCAAGGTGTACATGTAAACTTCAGAAAGCTAATATTCCCGTGTCACACAGATGTCATCATTGAACTATCCAGGCCGTGACTGACAACCTTCTTTAGGAATGAGATGTATTCACATCTGATTGACCATTGAGTAGTGATCAATGTCATGTATTTTCAGTACTTCTCAGTCCTAATCAGATTGTATGTTTTAAGTTCGAGTTCTGAAATTATCGAGCAAAAATTAACTAAAATACCCACTGAGATCGATAATCACTGAGAGAATTTTTAACAGTGATGATGTTTCGAGAAAATGTCATTACTACTCTATCCGGAAAGTGAACAAAAGCAAGTTTTTTAAAAAAAATTCATTTCAAAAACAAAAATCTAAATATTCTCTAGATGAAGACAAATTTACTAATACTACTATTAATACCACCACCAATCAAGTACTACACAAGAACAAATTCACACACGTACACACACGGAAAACAATTATTTTCATTGAAAAAAAATTAGGCATTGACATATTTTGTGTATCCGAAAGGTATGCAGATAAAACTACTTAACCTTGAATAGTAAGTTCTTTACATTTAAATAAGCTTGTTAGAAAATGGATACCAAATAATTTCAATGATTGTGAAATTAATCTGTTATTATTGGTGGTGGTAATAATATTGACAGATGTGCGAAAATATTTTTTTTCTATGCACTCAGAAATAGACATTTTGATTTATTGATTAAAACATGGAAAATATGGTGAAAAAGAAAGATTTGTAACCATCGAGAACTAAGAAGTATTGTTCAATGATTTCGTTTGTAGTGCCTATTCAAGAGTCTAGGCCTGACAAAGAGCGCTTAACTATTCAGACTATTGGAGTTGGAATTCAATAATTTATATTTCTAAATTTATTCATCATTAGACATCTACAACATCCTATCAATTATAGTAATACCATTGAGTAATGCATGATGTAGCAATGACTATATATATACTTAATATTATTTACACTATGATCTATGCATGTATATAATCAAAACTGTCCAAATGATCAAGTGGAAATAATAAAAATTCTATGATATTTTTGAAGTGATATAAACAGAAATAACAGAAATGCTAGATATAAGTCATGCATCAAAATGAAAATCTACAATAAACTACTTTTATTGTCAGTTGAAAATGAAAAAAAAATACACCAACGGATAAATATTACATAAACACAAAACCGTAGTAGCACTACTCTACCATTAAAAAAAAAATAAACACTAGATGAACTTACCAAAAGCTGCTTGAGCTATACCGATATGAAATTAATTATAATAAGACATAAATATAATGAAATACATATATATCTTGCTTCCTAATAGTATTGCTACACTATATATATATATATATATATATATACATATATATATATATATATATATATATATATATATATAGAAATGGGTGTTATTAACCATTAGTATGAATGAGTGTGGGTGTAGCAGTAGTAGTAGTAAAAAGAAACAACAAAACACAATTTAAAATTGGTATTCTCATAAACTAACTCTACAAAGAGCAACAAAACAGAAGAAAAAAAGCACAAACCTGATTATGTAGATAAAGGTATAAATATACGTATATATATATATATATATATATATATATATATATATATATATACAAAATATGGATGGATAACTAACTACCAATTTGGAGAGTAAAACAAAATACACACAACACACAAGAAACTTGAATATATATATATATATATATATATTGACTAGCTTGCAGAAATTACAATGAGGGGAAGATATCTACTTATCACTAGTTACAACTATATATTTTTTTAAAATTCTTCAGACGAAGATATCGAAGATAAATACAAGAAGGTAGTCAATAAAGAAACCATAAAAATGTGTTTGTAATTATCATATTGATTGTTTTTGGATTGTATATAACAATGAAGCACAAGTCGACTTTGAATGTTATTTGATATCAGAGGGTACGTTTGTTTATAGGGTGTTGAGTACAGTTTCGTATTCAGATTTTGAATTTGCCATTTTCAATCAAGCTATCTGATATAGTAAGACCTAAAGAAATAAATATTTTAGCCAGAATAGCTCGAGAGAGTCCTCACGAAATACAAACCGGACGAATGGATGAAATACAAGTAGACGACAATGTCTTGAGACCTACAAAACAACTCAAATTTAATTCAACATACACAAAAACCTGTTGTTTTCTGAATTAGATGGCTTGATCGTGAAGCTTTCATAAAATTTTAAGCTGAAATCATCACCACTAGCAAGATAGAAATAACAGAACTACGGTATTATAACATGTTAAGTTAAGAACAGATCGCTCTGCAGACATATTACACTATGAATTATTGTTCATATAACCAATCAAATTTAATGCCTATAGAAGCTGTTATTAACTATATACACTAGTATGACCTCAGCTACAAATTTGCTTTATCAGCTTGTAGGAATTCGAATTTCGATGACGGAAAAAAGCTCATATTACAATGATTTGGAAAAAATTTATCCAACAGATTTATGGGGAGATGTCAGTATTTAGCAGATCCCCAGATTTGTTAAGCATTACTGATACACCACCTACAATTGACAACATACAGAAAACTAATTGTGTGATAAAAATTATGCAAAAGAATTGTACATTACCAAGATTTTTTTCAAATTATAAATTGAAGAGAAAATAATTAGACAAAATGACACCAGGGAATCAATCAATTCAAAGGATCATTAGTGATTATTAATGTTAATCAACTGATTAAATCGGTGAAAGTTTCACTTTCAGTGTGTTGTATACATGTATATATATATATTATTCTGCAATGCTCTTTTTAAGCGTTTTCAAGTGAACAATTCACTCATGCGTACCCATACAACTGTAAATTTATACATTGAGACAAATACACGTAAAACTTAGACAAAAAAAATCAATGAACTATAGTGAACAACGTTAAGAAAAACAGACAAACAAACAGTGATTTACCACATAAGATGATTGACATAACAAGAAAACAAGAATCCGAAATATAATATTTGCATATATAAATACGACTGAACTATTTACCAACAAACAACTTAGGTTAAGCGATAGATATTTCAATATTACAAGGTATGGACAGAATAAAGAAATGATCAATATAATTGCTCTTTAACATGGAAGAAAAACTAACATTCCAGGAATATCATAGAAAAGGTATAAATTTTCACCTTATATTGGGTTTATAACGGGGATTACAAGATACAAATAAAACATATATGGTATTGTTATGAAATAAAAGATTATTATCAGCCATTAAAAACTAGGAGACGGAGATTATATATGAGGGAAAAAATAATGATAAAATCCATAAATGATGACACCAGGTCAACAGGTAAGTAAGTATGTAGATTGTGTGGTAAAGGAAATAAATACGCACCCATATGAGCATATCGCCTGAATCTTGATGTTTGCGGTCCAAAAACATTCGGTTCATCAACTAGAAAGGAAATCAACCAATCAAAAAGGCCAAACGTACAAAAAATATTTTTAAAAACGTAATAATACTTTAGTGTTATTTAGGGTTTATTGTATATCAAGGTTAATGACCTACAATTTTCACTAACATGATTTCAATTGTAATTATTCAATATCGAATTATTGTTTTCCGTACATTATCATCTTTTTTATTGCTAATCTTCAAATATTCTGTCAATTTGATGTATCATAGCATATGTAGTCAGCAAAGTAGTAGAAGATTAAAGAGATGTAGGTTTAATTGCTAAATGTTCAAATAACATAACTAGTAGAGGTAATAAGTTCAATATTTTTCTACCCACTTACTTAAAGACAGATAGACAGTTTAGTAGAAGGATCATTAATGTCTCTATAGAACAAAGAGTTCACATTCGTAAATAAAAACTTGTAATTAGATTACTGAGTATTGATTTTTTGTTTAATATAAATAAGAGATAGTCAAACATTACAATTGAGTAAATATACTGTATGAGATAATCCATTTCTTAAATTCACCGAAAAAATTAACTTTGAGATTCATTACAGACACAGTCATAAATTGATGTGCGTCGAAAATTTTTTAATCTACAATCATTGCATTCTATGGGATTCGAAATCAAACTACTCAATATAACAATAAAAACAAACAAGTTAAATGAGACAATTTAGTCAGTATGAGTCCATTGATATTTTATGATGTAATAAAATATAATTGAGAACTATTACTTAAATACGAGAATATATTTATTTCAAATTAAGGGGAAAAAACGTTAATTCGCAAGCATTATAAGCAAAGATGGATAGTGGCTAGCAATGACTGTTTGTTTAACAAAAATACGTAAAACCTAGTACGTATTCCTACTATGATCTCACCTCGTTATGCTTGAACTAATAACACTGAAGCCCATGGTTCAGTTACCTGATCTATTAATGCTTATATATATATATATATATATATATATATATATATATATACAAATAGGACGAAACGCGCGTCCTGGTTTCCACTACTAGCCACTATCAATCTCTGCTTATAATGCTTGCGAATTAAAGCTACATCAAGGCAATACGCACAGTATTCACATATGGCCAATAAGAGACTAACCAGTTGACGTCCTAAACATCAATGGAAAGATACAAACAAACAATACTAAGTAAACTTTAATTGGATTTATCTAAAATTCTTTACGATAAATATGAAAACGGAATATAAGAGCTAAAACACTATACTCGTTACGTGCACATTTAAAAAAGAAAATCAAATGACGAAAAACGGTGTTTGATAGAATAAAACAATGTGAAACCACTTTAGTGCATAATGCATACAAACAACTTTCAAACAATAAACATGCGTTTTAGTATACAGATTAATGCATATAATAATAATAATAAATATAATTAAAGAATATTATGCTTTCAAATTAGGGATAAACTAACAGATGCTCATATGTCAACAGTTAACAAAGTATGGTGTTTGTAGGCAAAACAACTGTGACAATAAGTAAAGTTGGATAATGGTTACCAGTGGAATCCAAAATACCTCTTTTGTTTTACTTCGAACTCGTACCAGTTAATAAAATACTTATGACATAACAAAATTATCGAAGCTATCCTTTGACGATGTACACTCCTCAACAACAGACCAATTAATTGCAGTTCATAACGTTAATAAAAAAGGAATAATTTAAACCATTGCAAATGAAATTGACACTATGAAAATGTTATACAACATAAATTTATCTTGTGTTTGACAGAAAACTAGTATGATACATCTTACTGACATTAACAAATGATTAGAATTAAGTTATCAAAAAAAATGTCTATTAAACAGACAAACATTATTACGCTAAATAACCATTGTGTATATTGGGTGTTAGAATAATTCTGTAAGCGATAACTTCGCACGATACATCTCGTAAGCTAACACTGGAAATCTTAAGTTCCAATATTACAACAATAATGAAGTAACTATATTCCATAAATAAGTTTGATATTGCTACGTATCAGTAAATTGAAGTCATTTTACTGATTATTTTTTGGAAAAATTAAACACTGAGTACTAATAAGTCTGCTGTCTGAACACTTGTTACTGACCTTCCAGCAGCTCCCTAAAACTTTGGATTACTTCTGCGCTTCAACTCAAGCAATAAAGAAAAGGTGCAAAATGTGAGAAAAAGCTTTACTACAAGGTTAATTATATCCAAAAAACCGACTATATTAATAGGGTTCTGTGTAACTTTGATCTAGGTACTTATAAAAACATACTAAGTAAAGTAATAACATAGGAAATTATCCAGTCAAAAAGTGATGTATAATCCTTTACTTTTCTATGTTTCTGAGATGATAGTACATAATCCTGACGGAACAAAATGTTCCCAGACTTCTGCTAGGTTTTCGGAGTCTCAGTTAAACGACACTTTTGAACTACCAACAAAAACAATTATTAGTAGACAGCTTAAGATGAGTAATGTCTCAAATCGCTACATCTAACGTCACTAGGTATTTTTATTAATTTGGAGACCACATCGCATACTTTGAACGAAAAAAAGGCTACACTTTGACATTTATCAGGAATTCACTAAAGACACCGATTGGCTTGATATTTTTGTGTTTATGAGATACGAAAATAATTTCATGGTTTATGATTAACAATTTCATTTAAAACCTTATTTCAGGCAAAAAGTGAATATACAAGCAAAAGACAACAATAAATAATAAGTAAATTAAAAATAATCCTGATAAGAAAACCAATCAATAGAAAGGATTTTAATTTTATACGACCAATCACAGAGAACCTGGAAACTATGGAAATAAGGTACATTGTACATCTACGTTTCTTAGAACTGGAACAGTCATACATAAGTTAAACAGACAGCGAGGTGACACATACCAAAATTATTTATATTTCAGACCCGAATTTCATTTAGGGATAGTACAATTTTGTGGAACTCCGCCTGTAGGTCTTCTAGAGTTACTGCCGGTCCCAAGCCAACACATACGAGGAGGGTTTGGCACGGGATTAACGACCCAATCCCGTAGAAAACTAACTCGCTAAAATAACGCTAACCATAACAAATAATTCAAACCATTTGAACTCTGCCTTCCGAGTTCAAGGGAGAATTATGACGCCTCATGATGAAAGCCGAGATTTTTCGGAAGTCACGAGACCGATGCTCCTTTAACAACCACAGCAACCGTTAATTAAGATAAATGGAATATCCAGACTATGTGCAAGACCGTGAGGACCAGTCGAATAGCAACAGAAATGGGGAGATACAACTTGTCAGTACAAGGAATCAGAGAAACCCTTCAGACCCAAGCTGGACGGGAAAGGTTAGGTTCAGGAGAGATGGTGCTGTATTCTGGTCACTGAGAAGACTTCACAGATGACGTAGCCCTTCTATCCCATACACACACAAGAAATTGAGCAACCGTCCACTATTGTTTTCAGTGACTTAATGTCTCACAACAGACCTGGTTGGACTCATGATTACAACTATAAAATTATTAAAATCTACACGAAAGCCCTCTTCTGATAATCATCATATGCTCACTAGTGACTGGCTTCAAGAGTTCTAGTGAGAAGCAGTAACCAGCGGAGTTCAACCGAGTCTGTTGTGAGATATCGACTCACTGAAGACAGTGGTGGGCGGTTGCTCAACTTCGTGGGTTGGTTCAAGTTAGACATTAACACCGTTGGATATCAGCCGGCTCAGTGGTCTAGAGGTCAAGCGCACACGCGCCAGACCGATAGGTTCTGGGTTCGAATCTTGCGAGGCGGGATCGTGGATGAGCACTGCTGGGGAGTCCCACAATAGGACGAAACGGCTGTCCAGTACTTCCAGATTTTCTAGCTCTAGTTGACTAATGATTTCAACTATAAAATTACTAAAATCTTCACAAAACTCCCCTTCTGATAACTAAATTATATTTTATCCTTAAATATAAACAAAATTTCCAGTTCATTTTGTGATATTATCGTTAAAATTATCTGGCTGCCGCAGAAACACAAACAGGAAATACAGTGAGATTGGAGATGGGGAGTAAGAGGTGACAAGGATAATAATAAAAATAATGTGAAAACACTAAATAGGAATAATATACTTGTAAATATATTATTCCTATTTAATCTCTTACATCAATATGGCGCCCAAATACTATGAAACTATTCGCTCTAATATAGACAATAGTCCTTATATAACGTGAAAACAATTTTAAACTCTGGATAATAAGTTGATATTTCCAAGGTAGGTTTAATGTGAGAACAAACTGTTTTTGAACACACAAAGAGGGTTCCAGCTTTCGTATGGCCAAGACTTCAATAAACCTTAGTATACGACCTTTTACACTTTTATACGACACCACGAAAGCCGAGTAAAGATCAATTCTATGGCCTGTTTCGATTATATGTTTGGCAATAGAGGATGATGGATGTTTATCAGCTACTCTTATAGGGTCATTCGATTCTATTTGTTTTTGCAACCATTTTAGTACATGTTCACCCACCCTAATTTTGAGATCACGATTGCTTCTCCCTATGTTTGTGTGACCACACACACATTTAAATTGGTAAACACAGTAGGATGTGACACAATCGTTTTCATGTCTTTTAGGTTTTGGATGAAGCATGAAACTCGTTCTTTTTTTGATAATAACCTTTGCTGCACAATACGTTTTGTTAATGACTGATTAAAGCCTTTGTTTCAATAAGAGGCTATTTGAATCGTCACTAAATTGTAAGTTGATGTAGATAGGCTTTTTTTCCGCCAAGACTACAGTATATCTCACTGTACCATGAACTTTCTGTCTATTTCTGAGTTTAAGTGGATAGCCATTTCCATTAATGTCTTGCTTAATAACCTAATATCATCGTCAATAGCGTCATTTTTGTAAATACGATCAGGCCTATTAAATAGGCACCTTATCAAACCCAGCTTGTATTGCACAGGGCAATAACTATAATGACTAAGGTATTGGGTTATCCACATTAGTTTTCTAAAGATGGGTTGATCAGATTGTTCGAAATGTATTGCGCTAATATGTCACATAGATCTGATAACCTTCATCTTCTTATTACACTATCGAAATTTATCAAAGGGACTAATTGCTTTAAATTTTGTTTATCTATTATAGGTACTAAATACATATATCAAGTTAAAGTACTTTTATAGAAATTAATAAAGCGCTATCTAGGATGGTGATTTGAATAGAGAAATAGTGAAACCATGACAAACAATTTAAAAAAAACAATGTAGGTTATTTTTCGGGACATTTCACTTAATTCAATGTTTGTGAAATACTAACATTTAGTTTTGTCCCTAGTTTATTTGATAGACCATAAGCTTTCGTTTGATGTATTATTCACTGCCATGCCCTTTTACGTTCCAAAGCTATTGTGATTTAAACGTAACCTTTGATACTCTATTTTTCTACCCTAATCTCTAATTGTTTTTCCGTTGTGGTCGTACTAGTCATTTATTTATTTATCTTTTTATACTGATCTGAATTGGAATGGGGAATCGTAAATAAATCGAGTAGTGTTCTAGTTGAGTTGTTTTCTCTCTCGCTTGTCAACCAATCAGGTGATAGAATAGTTTTCATCTCTTTGCCCAAGGCTTTTAGTTTCAGTTCAGACTCATGCAATTCTAGCCTCAAGGTTGAACAAATTCGTATATTATTAGTTAGATAGATCAAGGATGTTACATATGAGATACATTGAGAAGATTATAGTGAATGGACTTGAGTAAATCGATTAGCTATTTGAACCCATATCTGTTATATAGTCGCAAAACCAAGTAACATCATGAAGTGAAGTGGATAGACAACCTTTATTTATTGACTTTATACTGGCCCTTGATAAAGCCATACAGTTCGAAATATATTAGATTACGAGTCACAATTTTTACAGGATGAGAGAAACTGATTCTGGTGTCAGTGAGTAGATTTACTTGGTCGAAATTAACATGGTATTTTAAACAATTTATATTTGTTGCTTATTGCTTTACATACGACCAGAAAAACTCAAAAAAAAGCAGTATGGAACAAATCGAGAGTACGATCGCACAAAGTGCCTAAATCAGGACCATCAGGTCTTACAGTGTAGGGCTATCTAGTGTTTACCTGACGAGCGATAACGGATGATGTAAGAGTAGGATGGAAGCTGCAGGCATCCTAAACAAAGTGTGGTTCATGAAGTTATTGACAATTGCGCCAAACCGTGCAGACAGGCGCGGACTGTCTCGTTAGGGTCCGTGTAGTTAACGTCACCAATGGTTACAGACATTGGCTGAAATGGCTCAAAATTATTCTCAATAACATGGTTGAACTCACTTTTTGTATTACCTTAGATCTTAGGTTTCCAACTTATCTCATAATTTATTTATTCTACGAATCCACATTTTACCTCGAATTATATCTTGTATACCCAATTTTTCCTACTACCACCAATATTGTTAATACCCTTGCAACTGTAGGATTTGTTTCGATAATTTTATTTCGCTCTGCGAATGTGATAGGACAACTAGGACCAATGCATATATGTGCGCAGTTGTACAATGAGTAAAACTGACTAATTTTAAACAAATGCATATGTTTAGTAAGATAGATCCAAGAAGTACACACTAATATCTAAAGTATAATATAGAGAGGTATAGTTAGAAAACAGTCACTTATTTGACGAAAGCAATAAATGTATACATAAACTACCAATAATTTGGAGAAAATACTGATACATCTTGGACATTTAGACAACGACTTTTTAACCACTGGCAATTTATAGATTCCTCAGTATCAAGGAGTTAAAAATGAAAGAGCGGTCAATTTTAGACAGTGTCTTTTTTTGGATTAAGAATATCAAACTACGGGATTTTATGCATTATCAACACAGACTAAAAAGCACTTGATGTTAAATCTGTTACATCCATTAAGATGACTGAATCAACTAACTAAACAAGATTACGGTAAACAGAAACACACAACTAAACAAAATAATGTTTACCTAGAAATAAAAAGTAAACTGTATCCATCACATAATGCAATAGAAAACTAATAAGGAAATGAAATTGACTAAAAAGAATAAATGATTTCACAAAGAAGATAGTGAATAGTACTATTAAATGTCTCGATATCTCGTTCTTGTTCTATGAAAGAAAACAGAAACATATATATATATACATATATATATATACTGCTGTACAATAATGAAAGTAAACAAAAGAAGTTCGATGGTTATATACACACCAATATTACGTGATACACAATTGACAAAAATTTAATTAACTGAAGGCAACAATGGCTTTTTACCAACTTGAACAGATTCATTAACTAACTATATTAAAGTAATGAAAACTGTTTGACCAACAGAAAACAAAGCTAAATCAAATAATAAGTACTGTCTAGACGTTGACCACAACGACACATAGGGTGTTCTTATAATGCTAAACAGAAAGTCAATTTCATCTGTAAATCTTTTGTACATTTTGTAGTTTGGTTCTAAACTAACAGTTAAACACAAGTAATAAGGTTTATATGGAATATTTACTTCAGATAATCAATAAATATTGTAATCTCATTTCAATAGCAAAAATATGATGACAAGAACAGGAAATTCATTCTCTTTGAATCACATTATCTGTAAATAATATTATTCATACTATCACTAATAATTCTACTAATTTGATATTCATTTTGATAATCTCATCTCATTGTCAGTCAGTCAGCTACAACGTAGGACCAGGCACATTTATGCATCGGTCCAATTTGTCATACCTCGTTAGCACAACAAGATGAACACCGGATTCATAGAAGTAGTTAATTTAGAAGTGGTAATATATACAAAGAAAGGTTTTATATAAGGATATAGTATAGGAAGGAATAAAGTTATGAAGCAATTTTAAGCTCAAGGTTTAAGGGAAGATAAAGAGTGTATACACCTACGCCATTGTGATCGATTCTGAGCCATGTCACACAGAGTCTCCAACTATTGGTTACGATAGTCGCGCGGACCCCAACCACGAAGTCTGCATCTGTCAACATGGCTCAGACTAGAAGTTAGTGACTTCAAGCACTGATGCCACGTTTTGGTTTGGCCGCCCCTAACTCTCTTCCAACCATCCCTAATACTAGTCAAAATAGCGCGTCGTGATAATCGGTATTCAGGTATACGTAACACGTGGACTAACCATCTCAGTTGATGAAGATTCATGACCTCATCAACTGATTTACCATCTCATTGTGCTAATATGATGTGACAAATTAGACTAATGCATACATGTGCTAGAGTCAATGTTGGTTAATTACAACTGACGTGAATTTTGTATTTAACAAGTAACAATAACCTGAATAGCGTAAAGTTTTTAATTAAGATTACAATTTAATGAGTCTTATTATTTTGTAGTCTTAAAAAAAGTTCAGTTGTGACTTATTTTTGGAATACCATGATATTCATATTGCAAAACAAGCATAATTACATTTACTTGCTAAAAGAAATACCTTTGAATTCTGAAAGAAGAATTCTTTTTTTGCATTTCAAGAGTCTTAATATTTTTGTAATTTATATCACCTACTGCTTATGGTTAGACAAAAGTTAAGAATTAAGGAGCACTGTACAATCGTTTCAGCTATTAAGTACAGCATACCTGTAAACATATAAACTGAAAGTGTAGGTGAAGAAATCGTTGATCATAGGTTTTCCCAAAAATTTTTTTTGAAAATAATCAAATAATCACCATGAATAATCGTTAGAACATAAGATATTTAGTGTAACAAATAAAATTGGATATCAACTCCTCAAATTCAAATAACTTAAAATGTACACCGTTGAAGGGCCCCCAAATGCTCTAGTGCAGCTGAGGGTGGGAAGAGTCAGCTCCCGCTCTTGAAATGCTCTCACATGACCACGCGTATACAGCCACGGACAGGGAAGTTCTACTTACTGCATTCTCATGGCGAGGTTATTGTTTACAAAATTGAGAGGACGAAAAGCGAATGTCCGGCGCTCTAACCATGTTAGTGAACACAGAGAGTCCACCTAAGGGAGTTGGGAAATCCTGATTCTTAACCAATGACGCACATGGGCTCCAGGATCCTGAGGGAACAAATGGCGAGTGAACCCATTGATGGTCGCCGGATACCATGGGACTGCATCTCCTAAAGTTGTTCTACTGTCTTGTGGATTAAACCTCTAGGTCAGAGATTCAAGGAGTGTCCTACTAAGAAAACCACCTGCTTCAGTTTGGGCACCTGGGCAGTATCACAGCCCTCACACAAATCAAATGAGATTTGTGTGGCGCATATGTATCTGGTTCCCCTTGGTACCAAATATTTATGTATTTAAATAAATAAACAAATAAATCGACAGAAACACAGTTGAAGAATATTAATAGAGTTAAAAATTATATACTATATGAAATCATATTAAACATAATATGAAACTCCAAAATAAGCATATTTGAACAGATAAACAGTTGCACTATGTAGTTAAATGCTTTACTTGTTCTCGTCCTATACAACACTGATAAGTTGACTTGTGTGACACATATAGAAGTTCAAGTTTACAATTTCCAAACAAAAAAACTGTTTACCTACAACTTTCCTTCTAAAAAAAAGTAATATCAACTTCAATAAGCACAGTAATCATTTACGCGTAAGAACTTACGAGACTGTATACGTCTGAAAACTGTACGACCAATAAATTCTTGAAAACGTTGAGCATAATATAACGGATGTGTGACAGAAATAGTTTTCTAGTAATTTAACAATAAAAGTGAAAAGAATAGTTTAGATCAAGTGGAAATATAGATAACTGATATAGGGGAGGCTCTAATTTATGGACGACCTCTGAGTGATGATAAGGGGACCTTGAGAATATCCACCTACATGCTATGGCTAAATGAGGGTTAGGGTGAGGAATTAGATTTGGGGTCTTCATCACGAACTGACACAAGCTAAAATGTAAAAAACCAGTACTTGATATGATAAATCTGATTGAATCGTCCTTAGATTATGATCTCCCCTTGATACACTTTGACAAGCTGATTATCGTAGAGGTCTAACTAGTCCCGACGGATTGATATTAAATTAAATTTTGGCACAAATTCCAGAATCATATATCACTTGATGTGATAGGAAATGAAGATAATGAAATATGCTTTTACTGAAAATTTAAAGAACAAATGAACGGTTTTTGTTGATGAAAAAACATCACATACAACGGTAGGATCAGAGAAAGAAAGAAAAGTTTCACAATGAAGTTCGATTTTTATATGCAAGTTTTTGAATTGCAGTTTAATTAAACCATCAAAACTGATCTTTTTCTGTTGTATAATACAGTTAACGTTTAGATAACGTGTTAGCTAATCCAATCGTACTACCTTTTTAATAAATCTGATGTCGGTAATAAACTAAAAAATATAATCTAATTCTTTGAATTCACAAGTTGAATGCCTATTGAATAAAGTATCAAATACAAAGCATAACGGCTTGTGAATAATCAGGATGTTAAATCCGTGATGATCTAACGCTGTATTTACCTTATCTGTTTGCGGTTTAAGATGATATTGTAAGAAATCTAATGTACGAACACAAAAATACATTTGGTAGTGTTAATCACTATCTAATAATTTTGTACAAAACAACATAAAAATTAAGGCAAACTGTTGAAGGCAACATACAACGTAGAACTCGATAAATGCATAGATCGGTTTAAGTTACCATAATGCATTACTACAGTGAAACGAACAAAGAAAGCTTCAAAACGAAACAATCCAATTACGAGATCACAAAACTTCCAGCATCCTAGTCCTCAGCTATAACTATTCCCTATCATCTCTCAATTTAAACAAACCGTTAAACAACCAGTTATGAGATATGAACAAATTGAATGAAATTTTAAAAATAGAAATGTTAGCAGAAATTATTTACAAATTAAGTTTTGTTTTAAACATCGCAACCAACTTCAACTGATTATCTAATGATATTATTCACATGTAGAACGCACATTGAAGGATGCATACAACATAGAATAGATATAAAATTCATAGTACTTACTCCATCAGCTACCAAAGATTTGAAACCATGTTCCATTTTCTTTAAAATTCGATAACTTTGTAAAATATCAATAACACCAATATACAACAACAATCGATCACCGTTAGTATCACGTGCAGGAATGCCTCCAGATCTGGCAGAATGTCATTCAAAATATAAAAAATGTACAATGGTAATAAGATGAAACCTGTGAACTATTATTGGAAAACAGTTTCATGTGAACTTTTTCCAATGAAAGATAGATATACATACTTGAGTAACGAAGTATGCACACACTCGTTTACGTATAACTTCAGTGTTTATTTTTCTACAAGATCTGAATTGATCTTTTCCATGTTACAAGAAAGATCGGATAGATAATAGATGGCATGGTGGTGTATTAACTAGTTTCGAATGTTGAATGGATTTTGTTGACAAGAAATGAGGTTTGAAAATGAACGAAAGAGCGAAATGATGTATTCAGTACGATTTAGACGTGTTGTAGAAAAGTAGTAAGCTACGAAATTATCAAACAATTTGCAAGTATAAACCGATAGAAAACACAGACATACATAAAAGGTGTCTATTTGTCAAAAACTAATTACGAAAAGAAAACTCATATAAGTAACTTTTGTCATTAATTCAAAAAAGAGTAAATTTGATTTGGCGCTTTATATTATTAATTGACTAAACATGAAAAACAGTTTGCAAGTGACTTGCTTAATGATATTCCAGAAATTCTGATACAAAATTATGACTGCTGGAATTCAGACGTTTCGGAAGAGAAACAGTTATAATTTTTAGCATAAGATAATCATCAATTTAAATCGTGAATTGACAGAAGGTGAAATTATACCCCTGAATGCTAACGCAATGTTCTAAGGGTTAAGCGATCGCCATAAGGCCCGAAGGTCCTGATTTTGATCACTGGAGGTCGTGGGTTTTCATGACTTAGAAGTTCCGTACTGGAAAAAAAAGTTGTCCAGTGTCTCTCCTTTTCCAGTGACCTCACAATAGAGATTAACTTGTGATAAACAACCTATTGACGTTATTAATAGTAGTTTAATGACCAATTACAATACTAAGTGCATACAGTTGAATATTAAATTGTGTATTCAGATTTAAGCGATTCGACTAAGCACACCCGGGTGATTTCTACGGTATTCAACATATCTTTCATAGGGAACTGGTAATAAAGAAAAGTGTTATAATAATGACCAGTAGCTAAGGTGGTTAAATTGGGTGAATTGAAAACATATCGATATGCATGATTTGATTACTTATGAGTAGTAGCAACAAAATGGAGTAAACAACCAGCCACATCTTCAGAGTTTCAGTCAGTGGATAGTATGAATCGGAGTTAAGTACAAAATGGTGCCAATAAAAGTGAGGAAAGAAAGGGCAGGGTCCCTAGAATTGACGAACATATGGAACTCAAAACAACTGTAAGCCGACATACAAATCAGAATTTTCAGTACGAACGCCAAGACAGTTCTACTGTAAGGAGCTGAAACTTGGAGAACTACTATAACCATCATCAGAAAAGTACAGGTACTTCAGTGGAAACTGTCTACACAAGATGCCCCAGATCCGTTCGCCGGATAACATCAGCAGCAACCTACTGTGGCGGAGAACAAACGAACGTCCAGCTGAAGAGGAATTCGGGATGGATGCTGGAGGTGGAAAGCCCGTGCATGGAATCTTGAAGGGAAAATAAAAAGAGGAAGATCCAAAAACACATTACGTCGGAAATTGTATGCAAACATCAAAAGAATGACTAGCAATTGGAAACAACTGGAAAGGAGAGACCAGAACATAGTCGAATAATCTTGGTCGACGGCCTATGGCTCCGCGAGAGGTTATCAGTATAAGTAAGCCAATGAAAGTAATATTTTTATTGTCAGAAACCAAAACTACCAAAAACCACGAGTTCTTAATCGAAAAATATCTAAAGCAAATACTTACTATAAATTACAGAAACTGTTTGAAATATAAATCTATTATTTTTCAAGTATAAGACACTAGACTACATTTGTTGACCAGCGATACCTTTTTTGAATAATTTCATTGCCTTCTAATGGAGAGTCAAAAATCAAAGCAAAACGAGTAAAATTAATAATTAATGATCAAACATACGGAATAAGTTCGCGTTCTTCCGATTCTAATTCAACCGGTTCTGCGCTTGCTTTAATGGACTCCATAGCTGTACAATAAGCAACAACACGTTTTTGTGAATGTGATTTATGTACGCCGCGTTGAAACACCGATTTATCATCTTCATCATTATTAGTATTATGATCATTTGGTGTTTTCGTTTCATCATCAACACCGGATGTGAAATGAGCATGACGTGTAGGCAATTGTGAACCGTTTGGAGATGGTGATGTTTTATTACTGCTTTCATTGACAGCACCTAAAAGTCCACCACTACCCACATCGTTTGATGGCGAAGAAGATTGATTAGTGTTATTTCCATTACTCTTATTAGAAATATGAGATATTAATCCATTCGACTTCATTTTTGGGATTGAATTCGGAGATAAGTCAGATGATTCATCACCTATTTATAGTAAAGAATATATATGTACACATAATGAGATTAAACCATATCAGTAATTGTGCACAAAATAATTTAAACAGCTTGAAACTCAAGGGTATTGTCAATAGGAAATGTATCGAACATAAACAAAGAAATCTATTGCATGGTACAATATTCACACATTACTTGTATTTAATTATCTACTCCAGATGCAACACTATTAAATTAAACGGGAATTATTATCAAAATATTCAATACATCAATTCCTGGGTTAAAGTAGATACACCAAATTGAATACTATGTAATAAATGAATGCTCAAAAAAAAAGAAAATACATCCTAGGTTTGTCAAAACAGTGAACTTTTGAAAATGAGGTCACAAATGCTCAATCGTATGAAAGCTATTCTGGCGAGAGACAAAAAGAGAGTGGATGCCTTCAAACATTTACCGTTCCCAGGCACTCGAAAAAACTCCTTGAAAAAGCGAAAAAGTTCTGAAAACGCTGAGAAGCATCTTATTCAATTAGCATTTAACAGACGTTTTGTTTGAAACTTCTAGAAAGTGCAAATTCACATGTCGCATTTCTGATTGGATGATTATCTATACTATATGCTTAGTAGCGTCCCAGAATTTCGCGGAAGCCCTAGATTTTCTGTACATGAACAAACCTTTGCATTAAAGATAATTTTGAATAAATTGAGCAATAAGTGTCGCTAATTGAATTCATGTTCTTCCAACTGTGATCATCATCATCATCTCTGTACGAATCATTTTAGATATTTCAGACATTTTAGCAACGAGACTCACCAGTTTATCAATTGTGTTAATTTGCTGAAATAATTTGAATGCATTTCTAATATACATGTGACGACTCAAAAATAACAACTGTAACTTTACACATGGAAAGTGAAGGAAAACATTTATGTTCAATGAAGGTGTTTTAATCAGAAGAGGATTTGTGGAGATTTCAGTATATTTCAAAGTTGAAATCATGAGTCAATTGAAGCTAGACCATCATCGAAAACCTGGAAGCACTGGACGGCCGTTTTGTCCTATTATGGGACTTCTCAGCAGTGCGCACCCACGAGATTCGAACCCAGGACCTACCAGTTACGAGGCAGAGCCCTAAACCGAAGGTGTTTTATTTAAATTAATTAAGGATCTGATTTTGAATAATTAATTTAATAACACTTTTGTCACCGGTTAATCAATAAGTAATAACTGAATGAACACAATTTACAAAGATTGTAAGATTAAACTGATTTACTAGGTTATTTACCTCTTAACATCTTCTGTTTCAGTTTTAGTGTGTGTGTGTGTGTGTGTGTGAATAGGTCTTTTGTTTCGGAATTAACTTGATTAATCTTTATTCTTTGTGACAATACATGGTCTCTTCAAAGCAGGTGTTATTTGAATTTTCATTTTACATAATAAAGGGATATTACAAATATATTATTTATTTATATCCATTAAAGTATTTTCTTCCATATTTCGCACCTTTTCTCTCGCGTTCAAGTTGCTGTGTAAATCTAGTTTCGGAGTTACTAAAACACTTACGAAATAGAATCTAGCTTCCAATTGTAAATAATTACATGCAGTTTGTCCCCTTTATGAATTTGTATAAAGCCAAAACAACAATTAAGGCAGAAAAATAGGAATTCACTATGTTTCGTGGTTTCTCATCAGCTGCTTACGACCATATATGTATTAAGGTGTAACATTGAGGTATGATATAATTCGGTTTAAATTACATTTAACTTGATAATGCTGACCTATAACTCTTCATCAATTATATATTTTGCTTTGATGTAACATCCTACAATCATATATTTACCAGTTATTAACTAACGATATATGAAATACCGTACAATCAAGCGATGAAAAGAAAATTTAAAATAGAAGAATGTACAAAACATCGAACGTGTACATGAAAATACAGTTTACAATAAATAATTTTCTTTATCTACTATCAACGATAAACGGATATTCAATTTTTCATAGTTGAAAGCGTGAGTCAATTGAAGCTAAACCACCTGGAAAAACTGAACGGCCGTTTCGTCCTATTATGGGACTCATCAGCAGTGCGCATCCACGAACCCGCTCTCGCGAGATTCGAACAAAGGACCTACCAGTCTCGAGCCGAAGCCCTTAACCGATAGACCACTGAGCTGACATCCAACGGTGTTAATGTCTAACTTCAACTGATCCACGGATATTCAATTGTCAAAAATAGTGAATGTTATCTTAGTTACTCTCTTATTACAAGACACATTTACACAAAACTGAATGACTGGATATATAACAACAAACAAACATATGTGAATAGTTTAGTTTGCAGAAGTTTCAATTATCCTCTAGTTGATAGTCTTGACTGAATTTTTATCAATTTTAGTTGACACGTATCTACACTTGCGAAGTGATATATATTTTGATATTTTGAAGTGATATATTTTTATCACAAATTTTATAAAGTACATGAAAATCTTAAGAATCAAATTGAATTCATACAAGTCGAATTGGCCAGTGGCTATCTGGACTCAGTAGATCAGTGAATAATGCCTCGAGCATTTGGAGCGCAAGGCATTGTTACGGAGTTCGATTCCGAGTATAAATGTTAATACTGCAATGAAGATATGACCGAAATGTGTGTCCTGGATCCTACTGCAATTCAAATTCCATCTATTCTATGGAACATGTGGAAATACATCTTGCTCAGATAGAAAAATACAATAAAATATATAACGTAAAATGAAAATTCAAATAACACCTGCTTTGAAGAGACCATGTATTGTCACAAAGAATAAAGATTAATCAAGTTAATTCCGAAACAAAAGACCTATTCACACACACACACACTAAAACTGAAACAGAAGATGTTAAGAGGTAAATAACCTAGTAAATCAGTTTAATCTTACAATCTTTGTAAATTGTGTTCATTCAGTTATTACTTATTGATTAACCGGTGACAAAAGTGTTATTAAATTAATTATTCAAAATCAGATCCTTAATTAATTTAAATAAAACACCTTCATTGAACATAAATGTTTTCCTTCACTTTCCATGTGTAAAGTTACAGTTGTTATTTTTCAGTTGTAACATGTATATTAGAAATGCATTCAAATTATTTCAGCAAATTAACACAATTGATAAACTGGTGAGTCTCGTTGCTGGGATCCAAAAATTAAAAATCACATCAACCATTGAAATGTCTGAAAAATCTAAAATGATTCGTAGAGAGATGATGATTACAGATGGAAGATTATGAATTCAATTAGCGACACCTATTGCTATAGGTGATATAATTCAGAGACCGGACCACAAAGTCATTTCGAGGTACAATGAATAGCATTGAATTTATGCAACTCAAAAGGTAGAAAATAAGTGTTTGATCGGAGCAGGATATTCATTCATTTAAATGCGATCTATATATTATTGTAAAGCGGAACATTCCATTGAAAAATTTTGAATTCATATGACAACATAACTATTACCTACATTTACTCATTGCACAAGAGAATGCATAGAATGTTCAATTAACTGAAAATTTATATAGTAAGGTAAACAATAAACACTTACCACGTTGATTTACAGTAGTTTGTTTTTCAGATGCCTGTTTACGAGCGAGCTAAATGATGTGGAATTAAAAACAAGAGAAAATTGGAAAGAATTTATACATAAACATGTCAGAATTTTGTGGTTAAAAAGTAATGATAATAAACTATTTACAATCAGTAGCTCAATGGATAAACTAATTGAGTGTCTGAAATGAGAAATACTGAAATCGGCGATCATTAGTGGGAAGTCAGTTAAATAATCATGAACCGCGTTGCTCTTAAAATCATCACACTATCATGGTACTGAATAGGAACATAATGGTCAATATTTTTAGCTTCAGACAATTTTCGTGGAAAACCATGATCACAATTCAATATCGTTTAGTTAACGTCAGTTCATGGTGAAAATAACAGGACTGAACAAATCTCTAAAAACAGATTAACTGTAAAAGTCATCACCTCAGCAAATATCGCAAAAAGACACAGGATTCCAGTCACAGTGTGAACATTAATAATTGAATGAGGGTACATCTAACTAACGAAACCTGAACAAAACAGAACGCCAGTCCTGGAATTCATGGTTAATCATTGTCAAACTTTAACGAAAACTAAGTAACAATAGCTCAGGATGCAGAGGCGCCGTTAAAGGTTGGACGATTGCCACCCTTAACGATAAAAACAGGACAATACAAATCTCGATAGTGTAATAAGAAAACGAAGATTGTCAGAACTATATGATATATTGGCGCAATACATTTCGAACAATCTGATCAAACATATACTTGTTAAGGGCATTTATATATAAAAATAAAAGGTCAACTAGACAGAGGGTCGTGGGCTCGAATCCTGTGTGCGGGATCGTGGATATACGCTGACGAGGAGTTCCATATTAGGACAAAACGGTCATCTAGTGAATGATCTCAATTAAAACGAGAGATAACCAAGCCATGTAGTTGGCATAAAAATTAAGCCAGCGTCGAAAGTGAACGTCAATGGGATTTTTTTTTAATATATTAAAGAGGTTATGTATACCACAATTTCATTCTGTACAAAGAGTCTGACGGTAACCGTTTCTGCGAAGTGGAATAAAAGTGGTGCTCGCTGCTTGCTAATTATTTTAAATATCTTTATGATGTTGACGTTATTTTCAACCACAACGTTAGCTTGAATACTTAGGTGGACACTCATTTACAAACAATTTTTTATTATTCAGTGTCTCTTTAATATCATTTATAACTTCACTCCACTCTTTTTATGACTTTGTCTTCAACATAAAAACAGTGATCAATTTTAATTATTGCGTTAAATATGTTATTTCCTATTGTTGTTTCTCATGTTTCAAATTAAACTTCATTGATTATAGCAAGACGTTTTAGAATAACATTAAATAGGAATAATATATTTGTAAAATCTCAGCGAATGAATTTTTAATTAAATCCAAAGTTTCGCCTGGCAATCTGGTCCAAGCTTTTTCAAGGAATTATAATCAAACATCAAAATTATGATGATGATCAACTCGGCGATCAAATACTGTGAAACTATTCGCCCTAATTTAGACGAGAGTTCTTCTATGTTTTAGGATAACATTACAAATATATATTTAGGCCATTTTTAGCTAATGGGCAGCCCTGAAATACAATGGATTCGTGTTATTCTACAAATCTTGTTCTCCTCGCTTTAATTGAATTTAACAAGAGATCAGGATGTAGGAAATAATAATATTTCACTTCAGAATGAATTAACCAAGTGAAAATAATTAATTTGAGATGTCGAAATCATCTAATAATCAATGTTGTGTTTATCGTGAATGGTCAGTCAGTTACAACGTAGAACCTGATACTTATGTACATCAATTCAAGTTGCCATACAAGATGAAATTGTTAAGCCAAATCTCAGAATACTAGAGGTAGTGACAGTATTAGGAGTAATAGAAAAGACTAGGCATCAAAGATAAGATTCAAGAAGAGAATATAAAATTAGTGAAATAGAAACAAAAGTTAAGAGGAATTCAGAATCCCAGGAAGCGGGAGAAAACAAAGAATGGATACACGTGCATCATTGCAACCGATTTTGAGCCGTGTCAAGGTCTCTATCCATTGGCTACGTTGATCACGTGGACCCCAACCAGGTAGTCTATACCAACTAACATGGCTAAGTCCAATTTTCAATAATTTCATGAACTGATGCCATATATACTCCTACAACAGGAAACCGTCCGTCACGGTAGGCGGTGGCTAGGTATTCGTAACACATGTCCCGACCGCCTCAGTTGATGAACATTTACTACGTCATCAATCGATTTGTCATCCTTACCTAGTACCCTATTTTTAACCCAGGCATTGGTTGCTTTGTGGGCGGGCAATGCTTCAAAGACATATATATGGTTGAATACCAGTAACCTACGAATATTATCCACTTTTGATGGCAATGTTTTGGATCCATAAAGTAGGACAAAGAGAACTGGTGCGCAGTAAACTCGTCCCTTCATTGACAGATGGATGTCTCGCATACGCCACAAGTGACGCATGTTGACAAAAACCAATTAAGCCTTTTGAATGCGTGCCAAGACTTTGTCAGACACCAGACCATTATCGCTAACGACAAGTCTCATTCATGAACGCAATATATATATAAAGTATGAGACAAATAATGAGTAAAATTACGCGTCAGTCCACCCAATCCCCTTTATAGTACACTAAAATGTACTTAGAAGGGAGTTAAAACATTTTTTGTAGTAATTGATAAAAATGCTTTGCTATTATTTTTTTTATAGTAACGGAAAAAATGATTTCATTTTTCGTCACATCCTTCTATCAATTTATCTGATCTGACCAAATCAATAAAAATAGAACTAAGCACCAATCAGAGAAAGACAATTATAAATCTTGGTATGATAACATCAACAAGAAAAAGGAAATGAGGAAAGAGGAATGAAAACCAAAATGAAGTAAGTAAAATAAACATAGACTTTGAACGGCGTAAACCGACTAAATTAATTGAAACAAATAATTAATATTTGGAAACTAACATAAAAGAAGTACGCCTTGAACTGTGATTTATTACATGAAGGGACTTATTTTCTACAAATAATGTGAATAATATGTATATATTTATTACCTTAAAATAAGTCTGTATGTTGGTTGGTTATATATACGTATATATGGATGATGAGGAAAAAAAACCTAGAATTAACCCCATTCTAAATTTTAATGATGACCCGGTGTATTTATTTAAGTTATTGTCACATGTTATGAAATTTCATAAAGAAAATTGGCAAATTTTCATAGTTGAAATCATGAGTCAATTGAAGCTAAACCACTATGGAAAACCTGGAAGCACTGGCCGGCCGTTTCGTCCTATTGTGGGACTCCTCAGCAGTGCGCATTCACGATCCCGCACTCGTGAGACTCGAACCTGCCAGTCTCGCGCCAGAGCACTTAACTGATAGACCGATTGACTCATGATTTCAACTATGAAAATACTAAATTCTCCACAAAACCCCTTCTGATCTAATAATCATATGCTCACTAGTGACTGGCTTCAAGAGATATTTCCTTGAGTTCCAGTGGGAAGCAGTGACCAGTGGAGTTCTACCAAGTCTGTTGTAGAGATATCAACTCACTGTAGAAAATTGATGAACGGTTGCTCGAAATCGTGGATTGGTTGAAGTAAGACATTAACACCGGTTCAGTGGTCTATCGGTTAAGTGCTCTGGCGTGAGACTGGTAGGTCCTAAGTTCGAATCTCGCGAGTGCGGGATCGTGAATGCTGAGGAGTCCCACAATAGGACGAAATGGCCGTCCAGTTCTTTCAGGGTTTCCATGGTGGTCTAGCTTCAATTGACTCATGATTTCAACTATGAAAATACTAAATTGGTAAATTGTCGGAAAATTTTATTATCAACAGCTGATTTGTTGAATTCATGTTAAAGAGATAGAAATTTCAATTTAAATAAGCAAATAGTCAATTCATATGGAATTGTTTCGATTATGAAAAGGTTAAAATACAACTCAATAATTGTGATATCTACCGTATTGATTAAACTGAATGCATATAATAATATGTCAAGCTTTTCATAGTGAACTAACCGGAATATATTAGGATTTGTTGAGCAAATATGACGTGTAAGTCATTAGTTAAACCACAAAATTACAGATATTTTCACAGAAAGGCAGCAAAACGTATAGTAGACATAACTGAACAAGAAAGAATTGGATACCTAGCAAAATAAATATGTGGGTCAATCAGACATATTATATGCCATTTCAAGGTCGAATGATAAGAGCACGATGTTGGCCGAGATTTCGCTCAGCTTTCGAGGGATACAGGTATACTCTATTGGTTGAAATTCAGTCCAATTATCCGAGGAACATACATCCATATTTATAAATGAGCTTTTTTTTACATATTTCTATTCAATTAGTCAATAAAGCCTATTATTCCGATCAGTGTTTTTCCATTCTATCAGCAAGTTAAGCTCGAGTATAGGATTTGTGTATAACAATTTCAGAGTCAGGCGACTGCGTAACATACTAAAAACCAAGTGGGATCATTCGAAGTTTTCAAATACGAATTCCGGTTGTTTACATCGTATCACTATTTCGAGACATAATTTTGTCTCGAATCCAAGTCGAACCAGCCTAGCATCTTAATTTCTAAACTTAAGCTCAACATGAATAGTGTTCAATCGACTCACTACACTGAAATCCTGTGATCATATTCATGATCTTTCAATGTTAAAATCACGGATTGATCATAACCAAACAACTATTGAAAGCCAAGTAGCAATGGATAGCTATTTCGTTCTGGTATGAAAACACTCCGTAGGGGTGCACACCCATGATCTCATTGACGATTGAACATCAAACCTTCAGGTCTTGCAGTGAGCATTCAGTCTTTACACTACTGAAGCGGTATCCAGTAGTTTATTTTTAGGAGTTGTAAATAGTGAAAAATAAAAATTTGAAACTGTGGATAATAATGACTATAGAATAATAATTATGATATACATGGGATAACATACAAACTTAACAATGTTACAAAGTTTTGTAAATGGGTACGAAAATATTAGAAATGGGTGAAGGTCAGTAGAAGTAAAATTCAGTAAACCAGGAAAATAATACAGTAAATATTCTTATTCTTTATAAAATATTAAAGAAGCATCTCACTAACTCGTTCACGTTTAGCTTGATCCAAATTGTGTATACCTAATAGAAGGGAGTAGTCCATAATTCGAAAAGATTTGAGCACCTTCAATTGGAAGAGAGAAAAAAGATATGATAAATCGTAACAGAAATAAACTCAATCAAAAGCAAAAAAACTCATAATAAGGACATTTTTTATGAGGTCGATTCTATAAAAAATTGTTATAAACTGATTCTTGAGATGGGTCAAGATTTCCGGAGTAAAAAATCAATTTGAGAAAAAACCTACAAAACGTGATTGACTAACTGATTTCAATTGTCCTAAAATTTTGTACTGATTTGATGGAATAATGTAAATAAAATTTTCCTACTGAGATCATGAACCAACCAATGTTAGACCACCATTGCAAATCTGGAAGTATTAAACGGCCGTTTTGTCCTAGTATGGAGCTTTTCATCAGTGCACATCCGCGATTTGAGCCTACGACCCTCTGTCTCGCGCGCGAACGCTTAGCCTCTAGACAACTGAGCCGGCATCCAATGGTGCTAATGTCTACCTTCAACTAATCCCCGGTTTCGAGCGATTATCTTCCATTGCTTTCACACCCGAAACAGTTGAACACCACTGGTCGCGGCTCCTCACTAGAACACTGAAAGTTTCGTTTCAGAGTTAGTCACTAGTAAGTATATGATAATGAACATAAACAATAATATTTTTATTAATATAGTGTCACACAAATTTTTGTACACTACGTCACAATGGGTAAATGATAACTAATGAAGCAGTATCCAGTTAATCATTATAGTATGAATATAAATAATTTATGTAAGCAGCTTTGAACCATACAATCACAGTATGAGGACTAAAATGGAAGTACTTAGGTGTTGATGACAAAATAACTAGAGGTGTTCAAAGCAAAGGACCTTTCAATTGAAAATCGAATGATGTGATCATTAAACTACCACTCTATAAACAATAAATTGTAATACAAACCATCTAAACTAATAGAGCAATGAAATTTATTCAGTATGTTTTTCACTGATATTCAATTACATTTACATTTACAGTAGAAATTACGAATCAATAAAAAGAACACGTATATGTGAAAGTATTCGCGCACGAACACCAACTAGTTGTTAAACGCTATGATGTATCTTCACTTATAGCAATTCACGTGGACAGTTGTGGATACATGTTCAACCGAAAAGTGTTGAAATTTCGGATACGGGAAATACAAAGAAGACCAGAGAATTTTTGGAAGCCTGGCATTCAGGTCAATCCGTAGTCAATTAACATAAAGAAATCGATCTAATTCATCAATCAACTAGAAAAATCATGAGCGAATATAAGATCAAGAATTAATAAGAATAAAGATGAAGACAACGACACGTTAAAGGCCGACAATAACCAGTCAAAATCAAGGTCGACAGGACAAGCTGTCACTCATATGTGGAAGGATTAAAATGCTTCACTTGTACCTGAGGTTTGTGCTGATGATGTTGAATAGAAGAACAATGAAAGATTCATGATTCAACCATTCAGCTCAAAGCATACAATACAATATTAATTACATTTAGATGTCACGCATAACACCTGAAGATGCTTGGAATTAGGATTTCAATTCACTACGATGCTTCAGATTATTAATTATTTGAAAAACATTGATTGGGAGGATCCCAGTGAAAAATGATAAGGAGTAATATGTAACCAGTACAACAAGAACAATACAAAATCTGGAAAACTTCCTAAATAATTACGTCATTTAAAAAAATAATTTGGTGGAAAAGGTTTAATGACTTACGAGACAATCTCTCTCTATCGTTTTGAGGAGAGCATCATAAGTTTCTGCCTCTAACCAGATTCCATCTGGATGATTCTCACTAATAAAGAATAAATTTAAAAAAAATTCAAAGATATTAATTTTTATAGATACAGGCAAACGGAGAATATAACATTGTGGTTATTCTGTAGTAAAATAACTCATACCCCAACACGTACCTTAATACAACTTGAAAAAAGAAGGATTTAAACAACTTACATCGATGGTATCTAGAATCAAATAACATTTATAAACTATAAAACTAAACTGAGGTACACACTGTACAGGATTATGTACAATGATGTATTTTGACCATTTACATACATATTTCGAAATGTATGTATGCATCTAGATATGTTACTACATTTGGTTCAATAAATAGTAAACTCATGTGATGATGCAAAAGTTTGATTGTATCATTCATTTAGAAATGAGAAGAGACTTATATGTCTCTTATCAAACCGTTGCTATTACGTTAAATTTATACTTTCCCAATAAGCCCTTAATATAATCCACGTTGGCTAATATGGATGACATGCTATTCCTAATAAATTACATCCGATTGAATGAGGTTTGTTTTAAGTAATGCAGAAACGAGTTCAATAGATGAATGAAATTACAAATAACTACTGAAGTGCTTACGACACTTGGTATTAGTCAGTTATAGATTCTGACACAAATGTGCGCTAGACCAAGTTGCCAGACAACTTTAGAGAAATCAAACGAAATTAACAAGATGAATAGTAAAGAAGCTGAAATAATACGATAGCAATGAAAATGTAAAGATCAAACATTAAGAAATACTGCAAGAAAAGACAGAATGAAAACGCATAAATAATTGAAGAGTGGGATTGAAGATCAAGAAGAAAATACAGAGTAAATGCAACTGAGCCGTTGAGGATGATTCTGAGCCATGCCATCCAACGTCCCCAACCACCGATCGCGGTTACCACACTAACCCTGACCTGATAATCTGCTTCTACTAACAGTCAATGACATTACAGACTGATCCCAAGTCTTGGTTCGACCGCCTCTAGCTTTATTACAACCTAATGTCATACAAGTAAAACATCGCTCATCGAGGTACGTAGTGATTAAGCAAGCGTAATACACTTTTCTGATAATAATATGGAGGAAAAAAGTTGCTTAACAACTAGCACTTCAAGATGTATACATTATTACTACTAAATATAAATGCAGTGTCTATATTATCGTGTATAAGGTGTTTATCATGAAAACAAAAACTTGATGTTTATATTTTACGGGTATCTGCGTGAACGTGTATAATAATTATTAATATTATAAATGTGTATGACTGAATCAACGAAAACTATTTCCAACCAAAATCAGTTAAAATAGTTTTTAGATCAGTCCTACTCTATTTTGTTTTAAGCATAAATAGAATTTTGTTACAATCCGAAATTGATGGTAAAAAAAATCTACTTCGAAAATGGACATAAAAATTTATCTTGTTCAACATTCAAGTTAACCAATTCATGCTCAAATCATTCAATCAATCCACAGTAACTAAAAGCGACTTGATCAGTCTGTGTTGATAGTGAAGCGGTGGTTGAATGATTAAAATCACTTGGCTTTCAAACAAAATACACCGTAGATAGTAACGCTACACCATTTACGTTCGTTTGTGTAACCCCATAGAATAACTAGCCCTCACACAGAAAGAAAACATGTAGATCAAAGTCGAGTAAATAAACCCATAGTTCCCTAATGAGTTACTTGACCGACAGTTATTAAAGTTATTATTTATTTATTTATCTGAACACATAAATATTGGTACGAGGGGGCACCAGATACATATGCGCCACACAGTACGCGGAATTCAGTTGAAACCATTTAGCAACAGATTGTTAGAGAAGAGGTAAGTAGAGCTACTACAATTACCACCGTTAAGGTCGCTTCTCGGTTTTTAATGGTTGTCTAGCTACAGCAGATTAGTAATATAAACTAAGAAATTCAATAATTTCCACAAAACCTTAATTCCGTTACTAAGTGAAAAATGTAACAATTAATTCAAATATTATAGAAAGGGTTTTGTGGAGATTTAGTATTTATCATTGTTGAAAGCGTGAGTCAATTGGTGAATGGTTGCTCAACTTCGTGGATCAGTTGAAGTTAGACATTAACACCGTTGGATGCCAGCTCAGTGGTCTATCGGTTAAGGGCTTCGGCTCGAGACTGGTAGGTCCTGGGTTCGAATCTCGCTCGCGAGAGCAGGTTCGTGGATGCGCACTGCTGAGGAGTCCCATAATAGGACGAAACGGCCGTCCAGTGTTTCCAGGTTTTCCATGGTGGTCTAGCTTCAATTGACTCACGCTTTCAACAATTTAAATATTGTTTCTTGGCAGGAAAAGACCAAGCTATAATACCAACACGAAGAAAGGTTTGTTGTGATTATTTTAAAACTATCAATTATTATACAACGACACTTTAAATATACAGGATAGCAAAGAGAAATAAAAAAGGTTTCTAAGAAGCCTTTGGAGGGTTTCTAATGCTTTGATTAAAAAACTACTTCACAGAATCAAAAGAAAATACAATTAACACTTCTAAATGGTGATAATATAAAATAGTTCAATAAATGTGATAATGAAGCCTAAGGAACCGATGGTAGAAGAGGTTAAAAATAAATGGTATGTTTTTTTCCTAACTAAAGTGAGATTTGAGGCGTACATATATATATATATATATATATATATATGAGTGACCCAAACCATATCTCGTTCTAGATGTCAACCAGTGACTAATCGATTGATAATTAAACATCTATTATACGCTCCGCATAAGATATATACTATTGGCAAAGCTTAATGCACCAAAACTTTGAAAAGCCAGAATAAAAACAATAATATATTAGTGAAGAATTAAAACAAACGTTGTTACCAGCTATATTACGTTGCTAGTGTTTTTAAATGCCAGTAAAAATCAAGTATAGATCCCACTGAAAGTTTCGAACTGAAGATCGGAAATTCAAACTTACAAAGATAAAAATTACAAAATAACCAGTATATAAATAAGTTTTTTTTGAATTTAACATCCACAAAACTCTCGTGAAATTTGCTGCTTGAATAAAATGCTAAAATTACTTCTCCTGGAGCCCTTCTAGGGCTACTGCCAGTCTTAAGGCCGGAGGAAGGAGGGTTGGGCATAGGGTTAGTAACCTCATCATGTAAAAAAGAACCTTGCTAATAAAAACAAACAAAAAAATCATTTAAACCATCTACAATCCCATGTCATATGGCAGCAAACGTAATTATGAACTAAAGCTGGTTTAAATAAATCAACCAACATGAGATAAGAACTTTTACATTAATTCAATTAAAAATGTAGTAGAATAATAAAAAAATAACTTACATAAAATCGAGATCTTTTAGAGTTGGTGAACTTTTAGCGCGTTCAGCATCACTGGCCTGGCGACCATAAGTAGATCCTTTTAAATCATATTTTTCATGAATACGTACAGAAGAAGGTAGTAGGTTATTCATAACAACAAATCGGATATTTTTATGTCCAGACTATATATATTTGAGCAACAATTATAATAGACAAACAAACATAATAAATATCATTCTAAGCTAACGAATAAAACTGAGATATCAAAAATAAAAAGGATACTGAAACCTTAGATTTACAAAACAAAGCTGTAAAAGGTCAATACATTAGCGCCACCACACCTAATTTTGCATTCGCGTATTCGAACAATAAAAGTCATATATCCCAGCTAATCTAGTCGACGAAAGTTCTCAAACAATTAGCCATCTGTACCTAGTATATCATTTTGAAACTTCTTACTATCTAATTCCACTATACATCCAAACAGTTTCAAAAATATTTCTGGTCAAATAAAAAGCAAATTTTCCATACCTTTATCTTTATAAGGGAATTTCCACAGCTAAGAAGTTAGACAGGAAACTGCTGAGTACAATACACACTCCTATAAAGGACAGATAAACATCTGTTCTAAAATATACACATAATGATTGAAGCTTAAGGATAAGACGTTTAGACCAGTGAGAAAGGATTCTAAACTGTTTCAAAACCGCACATACCAATTTCTCGCCCATGAGAAGTATAAAAAGTCACCCTTATACTGTTATATATTAAGATAGATCACGATTATCCAAAATTACGAACAATTGGAAGGTGTTTCCGACAACATACAGAATTTGTGCGTTCTAACAAGTTCGATAGCTAATTTCCGTAGCATCTCAAAAATAACAATTTCCACATGTGACTGAAGACAGAATAGAATAACTCAAGGGAATGCTTGATATTGAAAGTGAAAACTATAATACAGCTTCTCTTTTTATATAACAATACCTGCGACCTTAGGGGATGACAAAATAACAAATTAAAGGTGAGAATAACCAATAAGATAATAGCAAAGGCCAAAGGGGGGGGGATTTAAACTACAAAAGTTGCTGAGATCATTTTTGTTTGCCATAACTTTAAGCTATTAACAAAAGTAAAAAGTGGATACAAATTTGAAGCTTTCCCACTAATAAATAAATCATGAATACGGTTCATAACGTAATTAACGAATTAAAAACACAAAAACAGAATCATAAGACTTCAGTTAAGTGGTGAAGGAACTCGGCGTTCAACTAATGGATAAGATTTTAACAGTTTACACATTACGGACTGACCTTTGCTATACAGGAAACATTGGACAGCTGTTTTGTCCTAGTACGGGACTATTCATTAATCAGTATGCATGATCCTATCAGAGATCAAACCTACGTCTATCAGGTTGCGCGGCAAGTACTTAGCTTTTAGACCACTGAGTCAGCATCTAACTGGTTTGCATTTCTTACCTCAATCAATCAGCAATATTGTACAGTTATCATGTAATGTTTTATCAGCGAGCAACTAACTGACCTCATTAAGCATGTTTAAACTCCACTGGTAACGATTTCTTACTAGAATCCTTGGAATTAACCCTCAAAATAAGTCACTAGATAGCACATGGTTATTATTGTTACAAGGGGTTTGTAAAGATTTTAACTACACTACAACTACTTTAGTTGAAACAACCAGTTAGTATCACACTAGTCTCAAAGAACAAAATAGCAACAAAAATGATAAATACCAATCAGAACCGAAACATTCTGTAAGTTGGATATGATGATAAGCAATCCCAATATACATGATAATAGGCAAAAAATGAGACTATTTGGTACATTTTCCAGTATATATATATATATAATATATACGTGGACAAAATAACCAATTACTACATAAATTTAATAACCTTTACCTGATAACAATAAAGACCGTAATATTTCGGTAATAAAGTACGAGGGTGTTGCATTAAATTCATAAAATATTCCGGTAGTAATTTTTGTAAAAATTCACCTTCTTTATGTTGTACAGTTTTAATAATGAATTCATCATCTTGACTAATATAAAAAATGGAACCACTTGCACCGGGGTTTGAAAGCTCTTGAAGTGATTGGCTACATAAAGAGTTCTATGTAGTAGAAATAACAATGGAAGAAAACAAAAACACTTCAATGCAAAAAGTAACGATAATTATAATCTAAGTTGATATATAGTTCTATGACAAGAATTGAAGTAATTAAACATTTTGAGTTTTTCTGGTGAGTTCACGACTGAAAATAATAATCGTATGAATACAAAAAAGCTATTTTTACTAGAAATTAACCTATCGCTGTCTACCTATTAACGTGACAGAAGGCTTGAGAAAACAGGTCACTTGGTCTTGCTTAACGATCGTGAAACATTACCTTCGCAAAAAAAAGACGTACGTTTAACGGTAGTATCTAATTCAAGGTGGAGAAGCTCTGAAAGATGTGGAAACCTTCATATACTTGGGAAGCATCAATGATGAACGAGGAAGACCGGATGCAGAAGTAAAGGTAAGGGCAGCATTCCTACAGTTGAAGAACATATGGAACTCAAAATAACTATCTGTAAGCCAACATCAAAGTCAGAATCTTCAGTACAAACGTCAAGACAGTTCTACTGTACTGTTATAATTTCTCTTATCACGACTCAGTTATTATTATTGCTTAGTATTCTTGGACACCAATTCATTCGACAAATTCCCAAATCAGGACACGGTTGGACAGGAACGAAATTATATTCCAAATAAAAAGGGTGGATGGAAGTAGGAATTACAATAACAAAAACGTTAGTATATTTATAGTTTTTACACGAGAATGTTCTAGAGTCTTCTCCAAGTATCCACTAGCACTGATTGGTTAAGAAACAGCCAATTATCGTGCACCAACACAATCCCGTAGAGAACGTGCTTTAATCCAATCTATGTACCGCTAACATGTACGGAGCTGAAACTTCGAGAACTACCATAACCACCATCAAAATAGTACAATTATTCATAAACAATTGTCTCCGTTGACCGGATACCATCAACAACAGCCTACTGTGGGAGAGAACAAACCAACTTCCAGTTGAAGAGAAAATTAGGAAAAGACGATGGAGGTAGATAGTACATACATTAGGGAAATAAGCAGACTGCATCACGAGATAAGACGTGACTTGGAATCCTGAAGGGAAACGGAAAGGAGGAGGACCAAAGAACACACTGAGTCGTGAATTGGAAGCAGACATGAAAAGGATGAATAACAACTGGAAAGGATTATCCAGGACAGAGTTGGATGGAGAAAACTGGTGGCGGACCTGAGCTCTTCGATGAGGGGTAACAGGCGTAAGTAAATAAATCTGATTTAGGATGCCTACAGACCACTGGTCGTGTATAATAGAACTATTAAGTTAGTAATGTTAATAAAATGAATAGGGTACAAGCTCAAGTGTTGCAGATCCCTTAATGAAATTGAGTCTCAGAGAAGGATTGAATTTAAACTGATAGATACTTGACAGAAGTGGGATACTGGATAAACACTATGAATAAAGAAAATTAATTCATTATTAAGAGTTAATGCACTCAAATTCCTCTTTCTCTCTCCCTCTGACCAAGTTGTGGATTTGAAACCATTCTACATTAACAAAAATTTTGAACTCAAACACAGAGGACGCAAACTATAAACTTCATACACATACTTCTATGTGAACAACAATTTGCATTTATTTACTAAATGTAAAAAATGACATTATAACATCACAAAAAATATGCTGATTATGAATTTCAAACTAATGACTAGTCTTTAGTGTAACCTTGCAAAACAAAAAATAATTACCGGTAATGATAAAGAATTTAGCCTCAACCTAGTGTACGTAATTTTTTTTCCACAAATTATGCACCGACTATTATGAACACACATACACACAGGTATATGAACGCACATAAAGAGTTACATAGTCGATACTCAATTATAAACTATAAAAGTACATATTTGAAAAAGAAACACCAGTTGTGTACTTTTGATTAGGGATATGTAAAATGATGAATATAAAAGGAAATGTTCAAAAAAGGAAAAAATCAAAACACTATGAATAAAAGAATGCACACAAGTACACAACACTGAATTTTCACCCTATAAACACATTTATACACAACCCAATTGTTTTTACATTGACTACGGGTACTGTATGTACGTGTGGAAGCTAAATACATTTAATCCGCCAGTTTCATTATTGAATGAGAGACTTGGCACAGATGTGTATTGGCGCACCAAATCAGTCAGTCACAACGTAGAACTTCGTACGTACGTACATCAGTTCGAGTTGCCATACCACATTAGCACAGACATGCAGTTGTCGATTCAAATCCCATAGTGGTAGAAGTAGTAGGAGTATAATCAGAAATCCAAAAGATTAGGGTTTGAAGAAATTATTGAAGGAGTATAGTACAGTGAAATAAATTTGGAAAGAGAAAAAAGATAAAGACATGATGAATTCAGAAGATTAGAATTTGGTAGAACACAAAGAGTGGATGCACCTTCGCCATTGCAAACGATTTTGATCCATGTCATTCAAGGTCTCTAACCATCGGTTGCTGTCATCACGCGAATCCCAACCAGGTAGTCTACACCTACCAACATAGCCCAGTTCACTTGTCAGTGACTTCATAGATTTGTGCCACGTTTTGGTCTGGCCACCCCTAGCTTTCTTCCAACCTACTCCTACACCATGAAACATTGCACGTCGGGGCAGTCGGTGGTCGGGCATACGTAACACATGTCCCAGCCATCTCAACTGATGAAGTTTCACTACTTCATCAATCGATTTGCCATCCTTTCCTAGTACTCGTTTCCTAACAACTGCATTACTTACCCGATGGTCCCAGGATATACGAGCAATGCTTCGAAGACACCTATGATTGAACACTAGTAGCCTACGAATATCCTCTACTCTTATTGGCCATGTTTCACTGCCATAAAGTAGGACGGAACGAACTGCTGCACAGTAAACCCGTCCTTTGGTTGCTAGACGGATATCTCGCCTACGCCATAAATGACGCAAGTTGGCGAAAGCTAGACGAGCCTTCTGTATCCGTGCTGAGATTTCGTCACATACCAGACCACAAGGGCTGATGAGACTCCCAAGATAAGTGAAGTGGTCTACACGCTCAACTACTTCACTCCCTATCGTTAGTTCAGGAGTCGCTGCAACCCAATCCTGAAGTAACATTTTGCACTTCGAGGGAGAGAATCGCATCCCGAACATGCCTGCATTGTTGCTTATAGTGGTCAGAAGACTCTGCATTTTGTCAGCGTCTTCACCGAGTAAAACTATGTCGTCGGCGTATTCTAAGTCAACAAGTGAGCCTCCCGGTAAAAGTTAAACTCCTGGAGGTTTAGCTGATGAAAGTGCTATCTCTAAAAGTATGTCAATGACAAAGTTAAACAAGAATGGGGAGAGTGGACAGCCCTGACGAACGCCACTTGTGGTAATCAGTTCTGATGACAGTTCGCCATAGGCTCTAACTCGACCAGTTGTGTTTGAGTAGAGAGCCTTTATGAGGTTAATGTACTTCTTTGGTACTCCTTTCAGTGACAAACACTGCCATAGAACCTCACGATCAACGGAGTCAAATGCCGCCTTAAGGTCAAGAAATACTACTATTGTGGGACGTCTGAATTTGTGTCTATGTTCTAGGACCTGACGTAGGGTGAATATCTGGTTTATGCAACCACGTCCAGGTCGAAAACCAGCCTGGTTTTCTCTAGTCTGCTCTTCACGAGCTTTGGTTAGGCTTCAAGGTATTATTGAAGCTAATATTTTAGACACTAAATTAGTCAAACTGATCCCTCTGTGATTGTCACAGGAGGACTTTTGTCCTTTCTTATAGACTGGCACAATCAGTGATTGGGACCAGTCAGATGGAATTACGTCCAGTTCCCAGATTCTACCTAAGACCTCAGTCAATCTCACTGCTACTACTGGACCACTATCCTTAAAAATCTCAGGGGTCAACCTGTCAGGGCCTGCTGCTCTCCCTCTCTTCAGATTTCCTATAGCTTTTTCAACCTCACAGAGGGTTGGAGGACTTACATCAATTTGCCATTCAGGACGACTGGGGATCGTGGGTAATTGAAGTGTGGGGCGCGCCAAGTTATCATACCATAACAACAACATAGTAAGAGACCAATAAAATGAAAAGCAAATAAGTGGAAATAGTAGAAAATAGTATCAATGGTAATGAAAACTACGCAGAAATGAAAGTGAGATTATATAATAACCAGAGAATTGAGTGGAATTATTATATTCATAAATTTTCTAATGTTTGCCATGAAATAACAGAATGAGAAGCATTATCTCTTGATAGTAAATATTGGTTAATAAGATCGACGTGGAAAATCCTATCGGAAACCTATACGGACAAAAGTATTGAGTAGACTTTCGTTAATTTGCCCGCATCATCCACATCCATATGATAACAGCATTTATCTGTCAAACCCCACGAATCCCATCACTTATATCAATACATCATGTAGACAACTATGGACGCATATTCGATTGGGCAACGTTAAAGTCTTGGACAAGCAATACCAGATCAGAGAATTTCTAAAAATATCGGCACTGAAGTCAGTCACCAGTCAATAAACAAATTGAAAGACAGCTAACCAATTAGAAGATTCATAAATAAGAACATGGTTAAAAAGGAAGCCATTCAAAATAAGTGTGCAGATAACAGGTGACAACAACAACCAAACTCAAGGTCGAAAGAACAAGCAGCCAGACATACGTTGATGTGACGCAAGAAGATTTAGCCTAAAAGTCAGATCTTAACAGACTGAAGAATGAATGACTTACAAGCTAATTTCTTCCAACCACATATTGCATTTTATCACGTTTATTTTGTGTTTATATTCTGCACATGCACATGTTATTTTGTTGCACAGAAACTATCCATCTGGCTAGAGCTTTTGTCTTTGATTTCTACTTATTCGTGAATTTGTACTAACAACACATTTTAGTGGGGAGCCATCATTTGGCCACATCATATCATTACACTTGTCTATCAATTAGCATCCTACTTATCTATTTTGACAATCGAGACGTCGCTCATTTATCATGAAAAATCCCCTGCATAACACCTGAGGAGAAGTTTTCACAAACCACTTCTATCTGTAACTTGCCGAAAATCGTAAAGCAAAACACATTAGAAGTGGAATGATAACCTAATGACTGAAATGTATGGATTCGAATGATTGGGTAACAGGTTTCCTCAAGCCGATCCTGCTTACTTCAAGTTTGAAAAATCCGGGTAGTATTAAAAAATGTGACAAATTATAGTACACAGGCAGGTAATTAGTAAATAAATTATATTCATAAACAGTACAATGTTATGTGAATGATACGAGAAATTCGGGTATATTCGTCTTCATTAAGATGACATAAATCATGAGGAAGAACTATTCCATTATTAAACTGAATCTACTTCATTATTAGTAATGATAATAGGTTTCTAGTTCAACATAACACTGGCTTTCTGAATTGAGTAGCTTAGTGGATAATACGTTGGTATTTGAAGCAAAGGGTACAGGTTTCGAGTCTGAGTATGAACGTTAATAATGGGATAAAAGTACAAGCAGCCGGCGAGTCCCGAATAGGACGAAACGCGCCTTCTAGATTTAAATATAAGCCACAATCCACCGATTCTGGATGCACATCATTCAGTTTAATTATTAGAGATAATCTGGTTTGCAAACAATTAACAACATAGAATCACTTTAAAAGAGGAAACATTAGACTTACTAAGAAATCACGAATATCCAATTTATATGACTTTCGGAAACATCGAAAAGCCACAGGAGCATAAATTCTAAATCGGAAATCTGAATATGGATGGGCTTGTGTTGTTTTCGTGCCTTCACGAGGAAAATTAACTGTATCGATAATATTAAAATCCCCATATAAAAGATCACGATCAGGTTTTTGTTGTAATGATCCAATATGATGTTGTATACCAAGTTGAATAGCTCCTTGGAGTTCTGATGTAGGTTTCTATAGCAGAGCATCATATTACAAATAATATTATCAAGTACTTTTCACAATTTCTAACATTTTGTTGTCAGTAATAAAATAACGTGTAATTTAGTTAGTACAGAGAAACGAGGTAAAAGTATCCAAATAAGCAACTGATTATACACAACATGTGTTGTATATATATATATATATATATATATATATATATATATATATATATATATATAAATCACGAGAAAAACAACACGGCATAATTCATTTGCATGGAAAATACACGTTATTGTTGTCATAGTATCATGTATGGTGGTTTACTGTGAAATTTCGTTTTACGATCGTTTTTGTTTACTTAAAAATTTCTTGAACTACTATTCTTAATAATTAGCTTATCTTAAAAACAATAGCGGAAAGAAAGAACAATTAAATTGTTTGAGTTTTATGGAGCAGCCTATCAGCGATTAAAGAGTTCAAATTACAATCACTAAGTAGTGGAAGGTTTGAATTCCACTCTACCTACTATGGTTCGGGTAACCAGGTAGCACACGAGTATGTACTAGGTGAATAAGTTAACAATAATCAGGGTGGATGATCTAAATCAAAGTAGTAGACTTTATTGTATTACACTTTGGTTTTGGCTAGGGAACATATACTTTATAAGCCGGGATGAATGGTGGCTAGCAGTGGAATCAAGGACGCACGTTTCGTTTTGTTTCGGACTCGTCAGCTGGATGCGTCTGCATCCTAGAGTTGATCTTTACTCCAACAATCTATCTCAGTACCGTTGCCTTCAAAGGCCGTCACGTTATCTACTTAGCTACTGAGACCAGACAGACACTGGCTTGCGCTATAAGGTGGAGTTTAATTCATTTGTATTGATTATTCGAACCTTTCCATTGATGTACGGGACTGCAATTGATTAGTCTATTTTTGGAAAATGTAGATCCTGCACAGATTGTTTCAATACTTCACTGCTAACCACCATTCATCTCTGCTTATAATGCTTGTGACTGACAGAAATATCGAGACGATAAGCATAGGATGTATACATGTCAAGAAGAGACTGAGCAATTGTAGTCCTAAGCATCAATGGGAAGATTCAAATAATCAATACAAATGAATTAAACATATACTTTATGATGACTTCGCCGTAGTTCCTTGATTCATATTTTGATAGTCTTTGGTGTCAGCCGACAGTTAAATTAGAGAAAACATATGACCGATTCGCAAAACATGTTAATCTTTTTTTAATCGATACTTATTAATGATATCTCATGATAAAAATAAAAACGCTTTATAATTTCACTGTTTAACATGAAATTGGTCAAAGTTCAATGCAAAAAATCCAGAAATCATCACTCAGGATTGAACCAAGTATTAAAACACAACAACTAAGGATATCATCGAAATTATAAACACCAATTTCCAACCATGTTTCTATTTTTCAAATGTGTTCGAGGCGATTAGTATTTTACAGTTATGCAACCTTTTATTTACTTGTTTAAACATAATAGAGGCACAAAAATAGGAAAATTTGATTGTAAAGAAATAAAGGTATAGTGAAGAAACAGCAAATGAATGAAGGACAGACAGATGCCAGTACTCTACAGCTTTCTTTCATACCACAGCATTGTCATGAACTAACTACCTCCCAGCTTTTTCCAACTAATCCCAGTGTCAACAAATGATGCACGATTTGGAATTTGCAGGGACGACATTCGCCGTACATATTTAAGTCACCGAAGTCAATGTTTTAAGATGATGACACCAACTGAAGTATCATCACTGCGCACGTGCACACGTTCTCAAACCATTAACCTGGTGTTGCCATTGAATGTCAACAACCTTTCGTAGACAACGATAATCAAACAGGGAAGTGCTTAACATTCTGAATTTGGAGAGATTTGGTTTCACAAGCACAGAACAAAACTGCCCTCATCTACGGGCCGTAAATCGGACTTTACATAGGCAGACTAATCCTACAAAGACATCCAAAGTGGGCCAGATTAACATAAGTTGCTGTCTTCCAGTATACATCAATCGATCTTAACCACAATACCACCAGCACTTACACGACTACTCAAAAAGAGTTTATAAACTACTTCCAACTGCTCATTAACAAAAGTGAGTGCCAGAACTGGATCCTGCCGGTCTTGTAAAAAGTTAATTTACATTTAAAAGGTGCAAAGAACATTCCATACCTTTGGACACTGAAATCTTTGCCACTGTTTTACTACGTTACAATAGAAGTAAAACTAACAAGCCTTACGTATATCAAACCAGTAAATCATACTTCACGATAAATTAAACATGCAAAATTTTAAATCCTAAAAGCAATAACAGATTTTCTAACTAGAAAAATCAAGACAGACGAAGTAAATCATCAGAATACAGATTTCAGTAATGGAGGCATAAAGACACTCCATATTTCCTGAAAACGTAGTATATAACTCCAGGTCTGTCTGTCCACTGTTTTCTCTTCATTCTGATAACTACACCAGGATCCTGACGACCTGGTTATTCGGTCCAGTTGGCGATAAGGGAATACAAACCATTTGAAATAAAGCTCATTTTTAGCTTTTCAAGTGATTAAACCGCTAATGGTATCAGAAAAACACTGATAATGAGGACAGAGAACTGTCGAAACTCCGACATTGTTGCTTGTGATGTCTGACTTGCAAGATTAGAAACATCATTAACGTATCTTGAGTTGGTAGTTTTGAAATGTAACTTAAATCATTTTTATTGTGGTCTCAAATGATGAGCATAATTTAAGGAACTAGTGGTAGTAGGTTTCGTGTAACTTACCTTCTTGTACGTAACAGTCCCTTCTTCTGTAACACGTCTGTGTCCAATTTTTTTCTCCTTGCGAGACTCAGCATCACGTGCCTGGTTACGGGAGGTACTAGGGAGAGCAAGTTTGGTTGGGGAAGTATGACTGGGAGGCCCCGGTCCAGAAACATGGACTGATGTTAGGATAAATGAGAAAATAGGAATACAAATAATACACTGAATGATGTACGTCTCCACGTGACAACAAAATAATGAAAAAGTTTGGTAGAAAATACTTTCGAAAGAAAATGAGCCTAATACATTGGATGACAATTAAATAACTGTCCGGGTAACAAACACAAGCAAAGAGAAAAGGACTGTACTAGTAGTAGTAAAGACAAAAGTTTAACTAAAGTTTATAAAAAGCCTACATACATTTCATGGCACATATAAAAGGTCCTTCAGTAAATGTACAAAAGATATTGTGCAATAAAATATTTTTTTAAATTGTCGTTACACATGATTAGGTTAAAAACAAGTACGAAAACAAAGCAACTTAGTGGCAAGGAACAACTTGTATAAATCATCAATATTAGTAACTGACTGAATATTTAGATGCAACGTAAGTATTAATTACAATCTGTTAGATATTTCGAATTTAGTTTCAGTGATCAATCTAAAGTATCAAAGTGTAGTTCCCGAGAAAAAGAGGTTACAAACAATTCGCTAATTTGAACCTACAATTACTGATTTCAGCATTGCTGAAACTAGATGTTTGACTTAAGCATTGTTTTCATGTCATTGTTGGTTATATCTAAATCGGATTGTACATTTAAAAGTGTGTGTAACAACTTCAGTCAGTCAGTCAGCTACAACGTGGGACCAGGCACATTTATGCATCGGTCCAAGTTTCCATACCTTGTTAGCACAGCAAGATGAACACCGGATTCATAGTAGTTATTTTGTGGTGGCAATATATAAAAGAAAGGTTGTATATAAAAATATAGTATAGAAAGGAAGACAGATATGAAGCAATTTTTAATTTCAAGGTTTAAGGGAACATAAAGAGTGTATACACCTACGCCATTGTGATCGATTCTGAGTTATGTCACATAGAGTCCCCAGCCATTGGTTACGATAGTCGCGCGGACTCCAACCAAGTAGTCTGCATCTGCCAACATGGCTCGGACTAGAAGTTAGTGACTTCATGCTCTGATGGCACGTTTTGGTTTGGCTGCCCCTAACTTTGTCCCAACCAACTGCTCTGGAAGCATGTAATTTATGAAATATGTTACGTAAGTACAAAGTAGGTGCAATAATTAGACTTCAAGGGCTACGACTGTTGGTTACGATAAACAACTTAAACATACATGGCAAGGTAAACACAATGATCATGAGTCATATGTAGTAAAAGAGAAAGAGATGGACAAGGCAGTTGATATTGGTAACACTAAGTAACCGTTGGTCGATAAAAAAGCAGGTATTAAGTAGTTAGCTATTACTGGTGCGATTTCTGGAAAAGTTTCTGAATTCCCTATAAATTGCTTTTTTATTTCACTGATTAATTTTTTCTAAAATTGTACCTTCCATTCTTAATCTTTCCTATTACCATTGGCTCTTTTAATACCTCTGCTATTCTAAAACTTGCTCTAAAAATTTCATGTGTCAGTGGAGTATTGCAACTTGGACAAATGTGCACATACTCCAGCTCCCACGTTGCGTACGACTGACTTTGAAAACAATGGAATGGTAATCTTGTTTTAGTCTATAATTAAACGAGATACAAAAATTTGAGAAGCAATTGTCAGGACTGTCGACCATCCTGCTTCATTTGATTTCGTCACAGATATCCCGTTGTAAAGCCCACTTGGTTTATTTAACTTCACGGACTGATCCCTTTCCTCGAATCCCATTCACTGCTCTGATGTGCGTAAACGACAGCTTAGTTCATTGAATAAGATGACAAACTCCAATTTCCTAAGGCCCTTGAGTAATAATAGAAGCAAGCTTAAGATACATCTCTACCCCCCAATATATAAAAAGCCCTGCTGAGACTGCAAATGGGGAATGAAGTAAACAAAAGAGCTCACCACGATGATCTTGGAGGTTTCATCAGCCCTGGTGGGTTGATAGATCATAAAGTCTCACCACGTGTTTAGAAAGCTCCTACACTTCCCAACTTGCTTCACTTGCGATGAATGTAACATATTTGTTTTCCGTAGAAGAGGTGAGCTTACTGGAGTACTCTGTACTGTTATCTCACGATTATAAAACGACCTACGGCAGTGGACATGAACAGATTGCAGGTGTTTGATCATAGATGCCCCCGAAACATTGCTTGTTTGGTGATATAACCGAGTAATTCAGAAATCAAACGTAGGAAGTCAGCCAAAGATAACATCAATAGATAAAGTTATGGGTCATTAACAACTGAGGTAGGTGGGTCATGTGTTACGTACGTCCTAACCATTACCATGCACGATGGGCTATGTTGAATGGAGTAAGAACAAGATGAAAGGAAACTAAAACATGGTATCACCTCAGTAAGACCTTGACTGTTAAGCTGATTTGTATTGTTAGACGCAAGGAAACTAATTTGAGTCAATGAAACAACACCGACGCATGTATGCGTGAATAACGTTAATAGATTCATCAACTTTGACAAACCGCGTCACAGCTCAGATTTAGCTAAATCATATAGGAATTCATTAGGAAGAAAAGAACAATAAAAAAGTTACCGAACATGTTACCCAATGTTGAAGAGCAAATATGAGGGACTATCTACCAAGATATCCTAAAAAAATGATTTAGACCTACTTATAAAGCTATATTTTAGATTATTAAGGATTGAAATATACCGACAAAACGAGGTTTTTGAAAGCTGTGAGAGTTGAAATGTTTGGTGCATTTATCCGCTCAAATCCCAAAGGATGCTCAGAGACTGGTTAATGTTACTACCTGGTCTTACAAAACAGAATGCAGCAACTAAGCAGACTGAATATTTTAATTGTCTTGGAAGTATTGTCGATAATGAAACGAAAGTTGATGATGAAATGTGTCCACAAAAAAGCTTTCGAGCTTCGTTTGCAATAAATAGGGACTTTTTGGCCCTTGGGCGAAATTCTACACGCTTTTAGAATATTAGCACTACCAGTTGACCACCTGTTTATTTATGGAAGGGTGAGTATACTGACCAAGCTGTTTCTGTTCAGCTTCATGCCAGTTAAATAATTGTCAGGAGTAAAAGGTGCACGTACGTCGTAGATATTTGATATCATACGTACTATACTGCCGAAGCACCAGATGAAGAGCTATAAAGTTCAGTTAAAAACCCTACGTTCTAGGAGTTGTCAATATACTAGGAGTAAGAAAAGTAGGATTCAAATATTTAGGTTTGATATTTTATGCAATACGAAATAACAAGTGTAAATGTCAGACGCTTGATTCTTCTTATGAAAGTAAAAGTGGATATATTGGGACTTCGGTACAAAATAAGAGCTACAGACATTTGGATCGACTAGGAAAATAAAACTCCTCACCTCCCGCCATAATTTCCCAGTCGCAAAAGGCGCTTTGTGACTGCGCAACACCTAAAGTACAATAAAGTCAATCCTCGGTTTGTCACAATACGTCAATCTTTGGATACATAGTTCACCTAGCCTTTGTCATATGGTTTGAAGTAGTATCATTTTGCTGCACTCTCAGCCCGTTTCATATATCTGATTATCTCATCACGATAAAAAGTCCGTCATTTGCTTTTAATTTCTGGTCTTGAAAAATATTGGTTCAAGAAAAAATGTGCTTCTCGTTCACGAACATCGGGAAATATGGACTGGTGTAAGTACTATATAACCTACTGAAAATCACCTCGAAACCGCAGAACACACTCCAGTTTTATTGTTTCTAAACACAGTCCTACATTTTTCTATTGTGGTAGGTGTCATGGGGGCGCGTTCAAGCGGAAATTGTTGTCGCTGAATATAGACATCTGTTAGACACCCTAAATATGATGAAAAAGGTTAGCTAGCCTCTTGAATACTAACGCGTAGTTTTGCATCCTCACGAACTCGAAAGCTTCCCAGAAAGAATCTATGTTTAACTACTGTATTTCTACTAACTTATGACTCCGTTGTATATTGTTCTGCTCCTGATTCGAATTACAAATAAAATACGTACAATCGAAACCAAGAAGTCCTCCCTGACATAAATACTTGTCTAGTAGAGTTCTAATTACAGGGTTCTGTGAACAATAAGTTAGCATAATGAATTTGATTAGTGATCTTATTGGTCTATAGGATGCAGATGGAAAGGTGATTGTCACTACGATGTACTTATAGGAGTGTTGGTTTAGGCAAGGTAAATAACTTGACTTAGTCACTGAATATATCTAAATCTCGGTCAGTGAGACAGATCTACTGAAACACTACAACCTCCCGGTCGACTCAAGCAAGCTGAGCCTAGAAGACAGAAAGACTAAGACATCTGTTTGCAAAACACTCTTATCCAGTTCCAGGTTGCGTCCAGATTGAGTCAGACATGTGGTTAACTTGTATTTCTAACCGGTACCTCTCGAGCTCTACATGCTACAATCGGAAGTACTATTTGTTATTAGGTATGTGTTATGTTTGTTATCTTTATAATAGATGATCGTGAACAAATGAACCAAGTAAAAACCAGAACACGAATGTTCTTAGCGGTCGTAAAAGACCAAGGTGTAATTGGACTGAATGGACACGGATGGACTGGAATGATAGTAGTATCGGATTAACACCTATTTGTAATTGAATTGGTATTAACATGGGCACTCAGAATCACCAGAGACTGTATTATAATGTAACGAACACTGCCAACAGGATATCCAGAAATTGCATTGTAGTGAAACAAATCCAGGACTGCACTAGACTGGTCTAATCTGGATTGTATTGATGTGAATACAAACTTTCCAGAGCATAAATTAGTCAGCGGATCCCGAACATTGGTAAATCAATACGATCAACCGGTAGATAGATAGACGGACAACCAAACAAATGCATATTAAGAGGGTGCTTATTTAGGGCATTTACATTAACCGGAAAACTTGGACTAAGTTAACCAACAGAATTAAACTAATGCGTGTGAAAGTCATATACCCCAGTTGAATATTGTATTCCTAAACGAATAGACGGTCGTGTCTAACATATCTGTATTAAACGCCAAACAATATCATGCAAAATTTCACAGATACATGTTCTAGAAAGTATGCAGACTGACTTTTGTGAAGTAAGAGGTAGCAAAACAACTTCAACTATATGGTGGATCTGGAATTTAACCGGCCTTCTAACAGTGCATGGTATTCCAGTTTCATATGGTCTCTGAAAAAGGCGGCAGTAGTTGATGTTTTAGTGGATCAGCGGACTAGAGGTTAAGCATTCATGCGCGAGACCGAAAGTCCTGGGTTCGAGACCTGTGCGCGGAGTCATGGATGTGCACTTCCGATGAGTCCCATACTGGGAAGAAACGGTCGTCCAGTGTTTATGGGTTTTTCATGATGACCTACCTGACTTCTACTCATGAAATCAACTACTAAAATCACTACAATCTACACAAAACCCCATTCTGATTTGGGATTTACCCGATCTTCAAACAATGCGTAATCCTTCCGGATTCCAAGTTAAAGATTGCCTCGTGATGCAGTTTGGTGATTTCCTTAACGTATGTCCGATCCACTTCCAACGTCTTTTCCTAATTTCCTCGTCAGCTCGAAGCTCGTTTGTCCTCTCCCATAAAACGCTGTTGCTGATGGTATCCGGCCAATGAATGATGAGTATTTTGCGTAAACAACTGTTTATAAATACTTGTACCTTCCTGATGATGGTCGTAGTAGTTCTCCACGTTTCAGCTCCATACAGTAGGACTGTCTTGACGTTCGTATTGAAGATTTTCACTTTGAAATTAGTTGACAGTTGTTTTGAGTTCCATATGTTGTTCAATTGTAGAAATGCTGCTCATGCTTTTATTATCCTCGCCTTTACATCTGCATCCGATCCTCCTTGTTTATCAACGATGCTTCGCGCATAATGGAAAAAGTGATGCAAAGTCAACTATCAGATCACCTACTTAAGGAAGAACTAATAGACCCAACACAACATGGTTTCATTAGAACAAGATCATGTAGTACATGTTTGATAGACTTCTTTAACGAGGTTACTCGCATACGTGACCAGAAAAAGCTAGTGATTATACTTTATTTCGATATAAAGAAAGCCTTTGATAAAGTACACCATAATCTTCTAATCAACAGACTCCAGTCAGTTGGAATTACAAACCCCCTATTGCAATGGATTAAGTCTTTCCTCACAAACAGATACCAAATAACCAAGCTTAACTCTACACCTCGACCAATAACCAGTGGTGTTGTGCAAGGTAGTGTCTTGGGTCCATTGCTCTTTATAATTTATATCAACAATATATGCAAGTGCTTTACTACAGGTAAGACCTACCTCTACGCTGATGACTTAAAAGTCATCTATAAAACTGACATTGGTGATGTACGTAGTACTATGCAAACGATCCAACATGAACTCAACAAAGTAGACGACTGGTGCAAACGCTTGGGGCTAGAGCTCAACACAGAGAAATGTGGTTGGCTATGTATTGGAAACACGTCACTTAAACTAAAACTAACACTTAACAAGAACCCACTGCCCAGGCCGACATCGGTAACTGACCTTGGGGTACATTACTCTGACAGTCTTAACTTCTCTGAACATATCTCAACTAAAGCATCTCAAATGTGGAGATTGCTTGGCTTCATCCTTCGTAATTTCTTTCAAAACGAAACTAAAATCATCCTTTATAAAGCCTGTGTAAGACCCATCGTCGAATACTGCTCGTTCTTATTTTCCAACCTACGCCTATCTGGTATACTTAAAGTGGAAGGAATACAGCGAGACTCCACTCGCAAAATACTTAAGAACGACCAACTCACTAACTACAAATCCAGATGCCATATCTTAGGACTAGAACCCCTCTGGAAAAGAAGGCTTAGGTCTAACTTAATTCTTTATTTTAAACTCCTTAAAAACCTTACTTATTCCACATGTAATATAGCTCTCTACCAAGACTCACATGGATACAACCTTCGAGACAAAGTATCCACTGTCAAAATTGAAAAACACAGATCAAAAACACGTAAAAATTTCTTCCTTATCAAGTACGCATTGATATGGAGCAGTCTGCCTTCTGAAATACGCATGGCAGACAAATTACATACGTTTGCAAGATTCATTGATCAAGCCATCCCCTGGATAGATCTGGTGCAAACGAACACATCCACGTCCCACACAGACATCATAGGCTCTCTACATATATAGACTGAATCGCCTTATTTCCCTACCTTGTAGTTGTATTAGATACTTTTCACTGACTAATTCTTTTCAATTGAATTAGACAGGCAACTCACTGGACCTATCAATACTCGGTCGCTAAACGACGCTTATAAATACCCTAAAACGTCAGAAAAAACGCACAATCGACTGACTACTGCCAGTGGTCGTACAATCACAGAACCTGCCACCCATCAACCGGTTAGCATAGAACAAAATAACCTCAGCGCGAATTTAGTGTGAGTTACTTCTCGTCTATTTATCAGCTTTTTACTCATCTGTACACTATGTTGCCTTGCCGTTAATATTATTTCACCACTCGTTATCTTACCTTATCTGTAACTAATATAAATCTCCACTTTTCCGCCTACTATGGTAAAGAAATATCCTACACTATACCCTTCCCAATGCCTATACTTTGATTCGTAACCTACACTTTACTATATAGTCAATAAAAACGTTGCAACGAGGCCTTAGCCACAGTCCATAATTTGTAACTGTCTGATAAGCTTGTAACATGGTACTTATGGAAATAGTGTTTTCCAACAAGATGTGATGATATGTATGATGATGATGATGATATGTATCCAAAAAATAAGCGTAAATGAGCCTAACATCACAAAAGGAGGGAGGGTGGAGTTACTGACCAGCAAGCACTGATGGTGAGGGCGATGATTTCAATCCACCCGTGTTTGTGGGGCAGAACATTTTGTTTGTATCAGGCTCTTTTTGGATGAGAACAAGTCAATAGATCTGTGATATTGAGATTGTTCACCTACACTCACTATTAAGACTTATGCTTCTAGTTTTTGTGCTGGATTAACTATTCTACTAAGACAACCTTTAACATGCTTACTCGGACTTTTACATGAAAACTGTGTAGCAGGCATCGGATGATGAAAAAAAACTGACTGTAAAGGATATGGTTATTATTGTTATTTTACTCAACACTCTACTCTCTATATGCACTCTCTCTTCTTCCTCATTCCAACCCTGACTTCCCTCCTTCATTGGAACCTACTCCACCTTGATAAATATCACAACTCATTGTTCTTTATTACTGCATTCTCTCCTCTGGAGCCCCTAATCACACTTCACTCTTGCAACATGAGCTAGTATCAATTTAATCTAATAATTTATCATACCTCCATCTGTTCCACTAATAAATGTTGAGCATTTGTTATCGTTCATATCCAAATGCCTTGCTGCTCGGTTTCTTT